GGTTTGTCATTCCTGTGAGACAGAACCAGAGTAGCAGTCCCCTCATGGCACTGTCGAGGACTGTGTGGGAAGGCGGGGTGTGTGTTTTGAGCAAGGGCTTGGGACAAGGTGCCAATTGCTTTCCATCAGATCAGTCTCTGTCGGAGCTCAATCTGCTTGTGAATTATTCCGGAACCCATTCCCAGCAGAGCCGTCTGTTCCCAATTGTTCTACCATCTGACCGCCTACCCTCTGTCGACACCCCTTCCCCAGACATTCCCCCTGCCCGTTAGACTCCACCCATTGTCCAGCCCGGGTAAACTGAGTCTGAGGAGAGCCTGGGCAGGAGAGAGGGTCGCGGGAGGGAAACCTTTCAACGCATTGGCATTCAGGGCCAACATGTGTCTGGGGAGCCCCAACCAAGCCTTCCACAGAACTTGGGGAGAGAGCATGCGGCCACGCCAGAGCCATATTGTGCCCCAGGCAGGCTGATGGCTCCACAGATAATATTGATCCTTTTGTTTGGAAACTCTTTGTGGAGGTTTCCCTTCCCCACGAGCCTCGCTGCGCCGGGCCTCCCCCAAGCCACGTTGCCTTTTGCACAGTCCCTCCACCAACTGTGCAGGCAGATGAGGGGCCCTGCATGCTAATGAGGGGAACGGCTGGCATTCCTGAGGCACACCCCGGCTCTGGGAACCCCGCCTTTGTTGCTAAGGAGTGTTGGCACGGTGGCTGAAAGGCTCTAACGAGAGGGGAGCGAGGAGAGGGAGAGAAGAAAGGCGAGCGTTTGTTTCCCGGGCTTCACAGTTCTCTGACCAGCTCCAAAGCTGTCCAATTTCTGATCTCAATTAGAATATCAAACCCTGTCATTGTTTCTCTTAATAATCTTGGGAAATGCCTTAGAAGAGTCAGTGAGCACTTAGCAAACCTTTGGACGGCGTGATCTGTCCAGTTGTGCTTTTGCGTGTGTGAACAGATCACGCCGAGCGTCCTGAAAACCCTCTTTATCCTGGTCCCCAGAAGGCTGCCATGGGGCCGGGGGAACCAGAAGAGGGTAAAAGCTGTTGAGTTTTCAAAATGTCTGTGTAAGAGCTCCATCCAACAGACGTTTTCTAGGTGCCCACTTGCTGGTGAATCTGGGCTCTGTGCTGGGGACAAAAATGAGCAAGACCCTGGTCCTGGCTTGGAGTGATCTCGAGACTTGCGAGGGAGCTAGACCATACATACCCAAGAGAATTCTGGGGGTTGCTTTCACTGGGACCTGGAGAGCTCTGTTGAACTTGAAATGTGTACTGGCTTAGTCACCCATGAGCTTAAGTCCTCAGGCAAGTACATTTACCACTTGAGCCTCAGTTTCTCATCTGGACAATGGGCATGGTAATACCAGCCTCGCTGGGTTACAGTGAAGAGTAAGTGCAGGTGAGGGACTGAGGAGGAGGAATACGGAGCACATGGTTTCTGCCCTCCACAGTCCCACTGTCAGTGAGCCAACTGTCGGCTTGGAAGGTGTCTGTACCTGGAAAAGGCAGTTAATGATTCGGCCCATTGAATAGGGTGAATCAAACTGCTGTTTAAGAATATGGTGCTAAGCCAGTTTTCCCTACGGAGCATGTCTATGTGCCGGGATTAGTGCTAGGCGATTTGCAAGCATGATCTCCTTCAATGTGAAGGATTCTGTATGGTAGGCAGTGAGGGGCTCAGCATCACACTCCTGGGAAAGTCTGCCCAGCTGGTGAGAACCAGCCTCTGTCTTCAGTTCTTTCTTCAGAGGCTGAGGCTTTGCAAAAGCTGGGAAAGATGCAGGTGACACCGTATCTCTCCAGGCCCTACGGGAAGTTAACCCATCCACTGCACACAGGCACTCATTTGGAAAGTTTGTTATTGTTGTTTTTTAAAATATCTTTTTATTGATATTTTTTTTGAGAGTGAGAGGAAGGGAGAGATAGAAACATCAATGTGAGGGAGAAACATCGATCAGTTTCCGGGACTCAAACAGAAACCTCTCAGTCCATGGGGTGACGCTCAATCCACTGAGCCACACTGGCTGGGCTGGAAAAGTTGGGCTAGAGAAAGTTGGTCAAGAACACAGACACCAGACACTCTCTACTGACTGTTCATTAAAAGTTTCCAGTGACACAGCCATGAGGAGTAGGCAAACACCACTGATCTGAGAAGAAGGAGAGAGAGAGGTAACAGATTTTTTTTTCATAAGCAAACCATGCAGAACTCCTTGCACAGAGGTCATAACAATATTCTGAAGTGTGATGACCTCATAGCATGTTCCTGTTTGTGTCCAGTGGTTTGGTTTGTTGATTTAACCTCTACATTGTCAACGTGATATCTACGCTTTTCTCTATGACTTGTTGAATTTTGGTTCTTTTAATGTTTACTCAGAGAACAACTAATGAGTATGTACTTCTACAATGTGCACGTCTTACACATACACACAGATATCTTGGGTAAAGTAGTGGAAAATCTAGACAGGAGATAATCTAAGAGCAATGATCACTTGGCTACAGAAGGCAGATATATCTCAAAATTTATTTTTGTTGTAGCAGAAACCTTACCTCTATATGTCATCTCACACAGACTGTTGTTCATTCTTCCTGTTGCTCAATAGCCAAGGAAAGGAACATAAGGAAGGTCCATCTCCACTACATGCAAGGAATTGTCCAAATGACATGGCTTTCAGGGTTTATAACACTCCTCTGTAAAGATAGGATTACTCCCATTTTACAGATGGAAAAACTGAAGTTCAGGGAGATCCAACAATTTGCCAAGACTACCACCTACTAATTGCCAGAGCTGGATTTTGGCTAGTTTTATAGCCTATTCTTTTTCTACTCTTTGTTGCTGTGTGGGTGGGTGGGGGGCCAGATCTGGATTCGGCCATGGCTACCCCACATACAGAAGTATTCACCTATTGAGCATTATAGAAGCAGAGGGTATGCACAACCTGTAGTCACATAGCTCTGGGGACACCTTTCATGCTATGTCAATGGAGTCCCCTCCAGTTGTTTAACTTGGTGGGTGTTGAACGTCTCATCTATAGGGAGCTGTACTAGATGCTGGACATAAAGAATTGAGCAAGGGCCCTGGCCAGTTTGGCTCAGCGGTTAGAGCGTCGGCCTGCGGTCTGGAGAGACCCGGGTTCGGTTCCCGCTAAGGGCACGTACTTCGGTTGCAGTTTGTCCCCGGCCCTGGTTGGTCGTGTGGGTGGCAGCCACTCGATGTGTCCCTTCACGTCGATGTTTCTCTCTCTCTCTCTCTCCCTTCCTCTCTCTCCCTCCCACTCTATCTGTACAAAAAATGGAAAAAAAAAAAAAAAAAATCCTCGGGTGAGGATAAAAAAAAAAAAAAAAAAAAGAATTGAGCAAGGTATATGATCATTGCCCTTCAGGACCTTATGATTTAGTCTGATAACCCCAACTTCATGTTCAGGGCCATAGTTTATCTCAATTCATTTTCCAGTCCACTTCCCCACAGAGATGTAAGGTAGACCAGGACATTTGTAGGTGTCACGTGACCAGTGCTTTCCAAAACGCCCTATATGTGTGAATAATTATCAATAGGCACATCCCAGCAGCCTTCTTACATTTCACTTCCCTGAGCCTCTGTTTTTCTCTTCTGTGAAATGGAGCTGTAAAAACTGACTTATTGAGTTGTCAGAGTTGTAGGAAGCAAAATATGTCAAGTTCCTGGCACATAGTAGTTGCTCTATGCCTATTGAATTTTTTGATCTAATGTTCTAATTTTCCTAATTTTTTTTTTTTTTTTTTTTAGCATGAGAAAGTCACATCTGTTGGCTTCTCTGATCTAAAAGGCAGTTAGCAAGTCCAAGAGTTCTAGAATGTTAGGAGGTGGTCCGTCTGCCTCAAGAGGCATGTGTTATAATACTCAAGTATTATAAAAACTACAGTAGTTTAGACCAGAGGGCCTTCAGAGATCATTTACGTTAGTGAGTCCAAATTATTTTGTTCTTAAGTTTTGTTCAAAAGGTTTTGTGAGACACCCTACTACATAAAATTGGTAAAAGAGGATGCTCAGAGAGCTTTCTGTTTGCTTTTTCCCTTGACCTCAACTCCTTCACGCTGTCTCCCATACAGAAGAGAAAACCAGGATCCAGGTCCCTCAGCACAGTGATGGTACTGGGAACACATCTGTACTTGAAGTCCGGGACTAGTGCTCATCCATGAGTTCATGCCACCTCTGTGAGCTGATGCATGTTTAAGTGTGTGTTGCGCGGGAGGTGCCAAGTTGGGGTGGAAGGTGTTAAAGATAAAAGAACTATGAAAACTGCTGGAAAATTTAGCTTGATTTTTCTGCCAAAAGAAGTAAAGAAAATGCTACCTATTTCTAGAATCCTTTGTCCCAGGAGTCCCTCCTCAAAACTTCTATCTAGTACTCTGGGAAAACATCCCTAGAGACAGTGTAACATTATCTAGTTTCGTACTAGAGAAAGTAAATATTGGGCTTGTTCAGAAAAACCTCACCTGTAATTCTACTTCTCAGAATTAAGATACGATATTGTTAATACTTCTATTTTTCCTATAATGTGGACATCTTTCTCAGAATAGTGACCAGAGGAAGGACTGACTTACTCATCCAGCAATGAAGTGTTTGGGTCTATTATATGATAGGCATTTGGGGGTGGGGGAAACTGACAACATCTAGCTTGTTTTTTACTCTTCAGAATTGCAGGGTTTGTAGAAACAGTTTGATGAGCAATGTAGAAAAAATATGTAATATTCACAATAAGCTTTATTAGAATAGAAGGGATTTTAAGAAACTGGGTTCTTGCCACCTCTGAAGAGAAAACCTGGTTTCCTCGGACCACGCTGAGCTGCTTGTGAGCGAGCATCACAACCAGAAACCAAGTCCAAGTCCAAGTCATCTGCGTCGGCAGCGCCGGCCTCCAGCTGATGGGGCCGCCCACCACCGTGCTCAGGCTGGGGGTAGACACGTGTCTGGGTAACGAGGGAGATGAAGGAAACATCTGCTTTCACAATATGGGCCTGTTATCACAGCTCCTTTAAGTACTGGAGCGCTGGTTCTAAGAGCGTATTTCCTCCCGAACGAAATCTCTTCAAGGCCTGGTCTATTTTCCGAGGGCTCAGGGACAGGTTGTAAATGAGGTTGTAGTTGTGAATGAGGCGCCTGGCTCGTTCCTTCTCCAGGACTCCTGTGATGAGGGGGGGTTGGTGGGAAGTTTTTAAAAGAGGACAGAGAAAACAAAAAGGAATAAAAAATGTATTAGTTTGAATGACGTCGGAGTAAACATGAAATGCTAATATTTTGAAACTTTAATCTTCTTAAAAGTCAAGTGACACCCTAAAAAGATATTCTAGTCTAGGTAGGCATCACAGATGTCAGGAGGGTTTTGAGGGTGACTGGGGAGGGGAGGTGGGGGTCCAATAAAATCCATAAATAGATTGTTCTTTGTGGTCATCAAACTTGAAAAGCCAAGTTTTGAAACAGGTGGGGTGTCTACTAAAAACAGTTTTTAATTGCTCTCCTTTATTGTATCTGTGATGTATTCAAACATATTCCTAAACATACAGGATTTAAAAAGCGCATTTTTATGCATTTCTGGAAACGTATGTACTGTGACTCCCTCCAGCTTCCCGTATAATCACAGGTAAATCATGTAACTTTTCTTTTTTTAAGTCTCACCCAAGGATATGTTTTTGTTGAGAGAGAGAGGATGGGAGGGAGCGTGGGAGGGGAAGAGAGAGAGAGAGGGGAGAGAAACATCAACTGGTTGCCTCTCATATGTGCCCTGTCCAGGGATAGAACCCCTAACCTAGCTATGTGCCCCGACCGGGAATCGAACCTGCAGCCCTTTGATGTATGGGATGCTGCTGTAACCAGCTGGGACACCTGGCCAGGGCCACGTAACTTCTTGTGGCTCACAGTCTGAATCTGTCTAACAGAGATGGCGGTGTTTATCATCATAGGATTTACTCTGGTACCCACATGTTGTTTTGCGGATATGTTTTTCACGGAAAGGTTAGGCAGATCTCAATAGTTGCAAAGAGTTTAAGTGTAGAACATGGCATTAGCCAAGACCAACGACTCATTCATATGCCCCTAATTGTGAACTTACATGTGTCAGATACTGCGCTAGGGAATACAGAGGATTTAGAACAAGGGGTCTATTACCTCAGGAAGGTCCCCAACCAGCTGGAGCAAAAAGAGATGCAAAAAATTAACTAAAGTTCAACAACAATAATAGCCCATATATAAAATCCATTATGTTTCAGGCAACCTGTAAGCATTTTACTGATAATAATTCAATCAATCCTCATGAGAACCCATTTTACAGAGCGAGTAACTGAGACATGAAGATGGTAAGTCACTTGCCCAAAGTTGCTTGGGTCCATGCATTAAATCACTCCACTAGATTATGGAATTAGGGGAAAGAGACTGTTTCTAGTCAGGTTCGTATTGGTTAGTAGATGTGTTCTTTGACTGGGCAGTTCTATGGTACCAGGGTCAATGAGAAGATTTTAAATATCTTTCATAGGGATGAACGATGCATTCCTAGCACGTTGCTCCACTGTGCTTGTGCAGACTGTAATAACTATTATAAAATTCTTTCTCATAGAATCCAGAGGCAGTCCCCTGGATTTATTGAAAGCCACTGCCAGTCCACGAGAGTTAGGTCTAGTGGGTACCTGTCATCTTTGTTTAAGTAGCCAAGTACTGTTCATGTTTGAATATGCAAGGACTTGAGCAAGATGCTTCCCTCCGAACTCCCCTCTAATGGGTGTTGACAGTGGGCTATCGACAGGTGGTCCTTATGTGACTTACTGCTTTCCCTTCTATCCTGTCCTGTCCAGGCCTCTTCTATATCCCACCCCATCCTTTCCCAGTTTGTTTCTATTCTATTCAGATTCGTTGATTGTCTGTCTCTTCTATTAGACTGTGGTCCTTTCCTCTGCAGAAATCTGTCTTCGATGTTGGCCAAGTGCATCTCTGCAGATCTCTGGGTTGGGAGGCTGCTGTCGGTCTGGCCTGGAATGGTCCCTTGGGACCCTTTCTCATGCTCTGCCTTTGGAGTAAGTGTCTGCCTGGGAAAATTACTTTAATCTTTTGAGCCTCGTTTTTTTCGACTTTAAAGTAGGGATAATGAAATTGTATAAAAATCGATAAAATAGTAAGTGCTGAGCAAATTTCCCACAACTAGTAAGCACTCATTAATGCAGGCATTATTATAGGGTTACTATAAAAATGATAACATCAACATCATTTAAAACACAAGAATATATTTTAATAAGAAGGTATTATTCAAATATATATATACTTCAGCTTATATTTTAATTAAAAATTTAAAGTAATGTTAAAGAACACATTTAGGAATTACCACTGGTGTGTGGGTGTGTGGGGGCGAGGGGATTTTCTACTATTTTCTAAGCTTTACCATTGGTAGGGATCAGCGCTGTCAAACAAAAGCCCACTGACTAGGATTTGTATCTGTCTCATTTGCTGTCATCAGGGGCTGCCCAGGACAGCTGCATAAAATAACCATTACAATCCGTCTTCGTGACGGAGAGCGAGCTCATCCTTCTCCCACCGGAATCACAAGGAAAGGAACAATAAGAAGAAGCTCTTTAACATCCTCTTCATTTTAAAGTTCGCAAATACCTTTCAGCTCTCATGTGACCCTTTCTCAAGTCTGGGAGGTATGTTTGATTATGATCGGTCCCCTTGTACAGACGAGGAACCAGGCTCAGAGAATGTGAGGACTCAGACATTGGTAATGGCTGGACTCGAACAGGTCTTTTGGTAAAAACAAGCAAAGCAACAAGTGAGACCCCATGCTCTTTCTGGTATGTTGTGGGAGGCTGGTATAGTGGGAAGTCCAATAGATCTGGGTTTGAATTATGGTTCCACTTCCTACTCGAGGAGTCAGTGACATAGTGCATGTAGAGGCCAGAGCCACCCAGAGAACGCCCTTGAGGGCTCTGGTTGCATTCTGCCACCTTGAACTCGAAAACACTTTTTATCTAGTCTTCAGTTCACTGGGAAAATTCCAAATCTACATTCATCCAAACATTTATCTCAACCACTCTTCTTTCTTTAGAAAAAAACAGGGCCAGTTATTTGGTCATTTCTTATTACTTCTCCTCAAGGATATTTTCTTGACAACCCCATTAGAGAATAAGCACAAAGTAGGTTCCCAGAAATGCTAATTTGATGATGGATGGTCTGCCTTCATCCTGGATGAAGAACACCCTGGCCTACATATTTCCTTGCACATAATAAAGAACAGTGATTCATCCATGGGCAAAGTAGGTATCATCTGCTCAGTGTCTAGAACGGGGCTGTGGTGGTCTGCTAAATATTGTGGTTCGTAAACCCACAAAATGACTTCAGTTAATCCTCTTTCCTAATTAAAGATAGTTACAGATGTTCCCAGATCTGGTTGACACATTCCTTGGCTGTTAAGGAAATAATGAATTTCATAGAAACAGAGAAAACAGGCATAAATAGTGAAGAGGCCATGAGAAAGGCATTTCAGATCTGCTGGAATCTGCCTCCAATGTCAACAAAACCCCGCTTTTCCTCAGAACCGTTCAGAAGTATGAGAAAGGTCCTGTCTTTGGGGAGTCTCTTAGCAACTAAGTTTATGATCTGTCATCCATCATTGTAAATCAGCATCTGTCCCTTTAAAAATGTCTGTTATTTCTACTCAGCTTTTTGTTTTATTTTGTTTCATGTTTGTTTGTAGCCTCCTCACCACTCTCACAGCCCCGGTCTGAATACCTAGACTCATGATTATTTAATAACTTTTCTATCCCCTGTTCTCCAGCATCTTCCCTAAATGATCTGTCTCAGCTTCTCTCGTGTTCTCCTCTGGGCGAACCTTTGGTGATCACCGGGTGGAGAATGAAGTCCCACCCGAGCCCTCAGGATTCTCTAGTGTCTTAACCTCACTAGCCAACCAACATGAACCTCCAGTTCTGGCCTGTTCACTCTCTTCCCCCTCAAACTCATTCCCACATTCTAATCTTTGCAGAAGGTAGTTTCAAACTTGAAATGCCCTCCCCGGTGATCCAAAGTCTACCTCTCCTCTGGCAACTCTCGAGCGCTCTTTTGTAGGAAGCCCTCTCTGAGTGCCCCAGCTCACATCACACATGAGCTTCTTTCTAGCTCTCTTTGCTTTGGGCTCTAACTCTGATTTGTCTCTTCAATTGTAACACTTTACTATATGCTGTCTTTAAAAAAAAAAATAGATTGGTATAAACCTATGGCTAGTCTCTGTGTCTTACCTTCTTACCGAAAATCTCTTTGAGGCCAGAGACCCAGTCTCGTTCTTTCTCATTTCTCTCCTGGTCAGGCCTCTGGCACACAGTGCTGGGACCAGAAGAGATGTTTAATAAATGAATTTCTAATTCAGCTAAATACATTTTCATTTGAAATATTTATCTGTCCCTCACTTTGGTATACTTATTAAAAATCCTTGGATAGTGTAGGGTAGTCATACTTCATGTGGTCTATATTTAATTTGCTTTGAAAATTCAAAACGAAATGAAGCAAAAAGAAAAACACACAGAGAGAATGAAAAGCCAGGCATTGCTCTTGTTGTATAATTACTTCTAGAGAGTACTAATGTGTATACAAAGTCTCCTTAAAAAATTAATCACTTCTAGTTTTTTTGAAAGATAGTATTGTGTGTGTTTAAAGTGTAAAATGTGGTGATTTGATACATGTGCCTATTGCTAAATGTTTACCACCATTAGGTAAGTAAAGCCTCCTTCACTTCACGTCATTACCATTTCGTTGTTGTGATCATACGGTGAGAGCAGGAAAGCTCTTCTCTCATACAGTTTTCCAGTACACAACTCAGTATTGTTACCTATTCACCTTACTGCATCTCAGATCCTCGGGACTTAATTCATCTCATAACTGGAAGCTTGTACCCTTTGACCAACATCTCCCCATTTTCTTTAGCAACCACGGTTCTGCTCTCCATTTCTCTGAGTTCAGTGTTGTTAGATTCAATATGTAGGACACAAACTCTTCGTGAACCACAGTGTATGATTAAATACAACAGTTTCAGTCCACAAGCTTTTGTGTAAGCTCCCTCCTGTCCATTCCCCAAGTCTCTGAATTCTGGAATTCATTCTCTCTCCCTTGGACATTGCAATGGCGTCCTTTCTTTTTTGCCTCCTTTCATTGTCTCCTTGTTCATTCACAGCCATCAAGGATCTTTCGGAAATACAACTTGATCATACACTCCCCTGCTTAGGAACTGTCAGTACTGCTCACTGTCTTTGAATTAAGTCCAAATTCTCTGGTCCAGCATCGAAGAGCTTCCTAGATCTGGTCCCATCCCATATCTCCACCTTTATCATTTAATATTTTTATTATGATTTTAAAATTATTAATTATAATGTTAAATTTACAGTTGACATTCAATTAATATTCTTCTTAATAGTCCGTATATTCTATCCAAACCAAACTCCTTGCGTTGAGTTTACACATAACACTGCTTGGCCAATTTGTACCTTTGCCAGAAAGGGCCTTCCATTTCATTCCTCTGTATACAAATTGCATTTTATCGTAATGATCCATTTCACATTATGATCCATTCCCCGATCACCTTACTAGGCAGGAATTCTTTCTCTGAATGCCCACATAGCATGCTCTAATGGCATTTACTACCTTCCATCTTGGATTTAGTTATTTATGTACATTCATGCATTTATTTGTTGCCTCAAAAATATGTTAAACAGAATTCTGCAAGGTGCTGGGGATATAAAAGGAATGTAGTCTACCGGTGAGATACTACTAAGCCCTTAGATAAAATAAAAATACAATATACCAAATATGATAATGGATGTTAAAGAACTCTGAGAGGCCAGATAAAGAACTTCTTAGATCTGTCTAGGAGAAATCAAGGAAGTCTCAGAGAAATAAAGCTTGAGTTCCAACATAGAAGACGTTTAGGCATTAATTAGACAGGTGGACAACATTGGGAGCTGTCAGGGGGGTGGGGTAGGTAGGAAAAGGCAAACAGCTCAGATGGAAGTCATAGGGTTAGAGAAGGCCAGCCCCAGGAGAAAGCAAGGCAAGTCTGAGGAAGGCAAGGGATTCATTATGCAGAAAGAATAACAATTAAAGGAGGAGAGACTCGTCAGGTGGACAGGGGCTAGAGCTCGCTTTGCTAAGAAGTTTGGAGCTCAGCCTGTTAGCAGGCATCCTGCAGTAGTTCAATTAAGGGAGAGATTGGATTGTGGGTTAAACTCAGGTAGTAGAGTGGAGGAAAGATCAGAGACATGAAGAAACTGTAAGGAACCTGGTGGGGGATTCATTCATATCTGATTCATCTTTGTATTTCTTGATTGTGCTCAGCACATGGTTGATATACAAATGGTATTTGTTAAGATGTGAAAGAAAATGCATCCACTTGCAGACTAGAACACAAAGAGCAAGGTGTATTAGCGGTAAGCTTCACACATGTCACCTGTATTACTCAGATCACACAGGTAGAGGGCATTTTCGAGCTTCCTGAACCTGTCGATCCATGTCTCACATTCTTCAGACTTATGCTTCATCGCTGGACTCACAAAAGGCTGTGAGACTGGCCGGATCATCAGAGAGCTCGGGGGATCTTTGGGGGCTGAAGTCTCAGCAGGAAGGTTTTCTGGCTGCAGCTCCTCCTCTGGAGATTTCTGCCAAAACAACACAAGCATCTCACTGGCAACACATTCACTGCCCAGAGCGCCTCCAGTCTTTTGGCCAAAGATGAGGCCACACAACTAGTAAGATTTATTGCAAGGTCTGGCTTTGTAAGGCTAGGAGGACGAGTTTCAAATCCTCAGTGCCATGGGACCATGGCTGCCAAGTCTTGTTGGATATAAACTACTATGTTGAGTGTTTTTTTTTTTTTAAGGGAGAAGGGTAAAATCATTTCTTATATTCAGTTTACATCTCCGATTTTCACAAAGCAAAGTTTTTGTAACTGGCTGAGCCTTTTCATGGTGTTCTATTCTGTTTCATATTAGTGGCATCCATAGGGCACGGGCTTCAGGAAATGCTTATAACTTCTTGGTGGGTAAACCTCTGGATCACGAATGTGAGCTTTTTGACAAAGAGTGATTAAAACAATAGTGATGTTACCGTACGCTAGTGGGCTCAGTATAGCAGACCATAGAGCACCTCTAGGTCTGTCTGTCCTATTCATGTCACAAAGGAAGCTGAGGCCCAGCGAGTGGAAGTGAATGGTAGACACAGCACTAGAACAAGGGTGCAGAGGTTGTGTCTAGTTGATCTTGGTATTGTAACCCCATGTTCAGTATAAAATAGAGATTTTTTATTTTTAGAATAAATAGACAAGTCCCAGCAGGCCATACAAGATGTTCTGTTGTCTACCAGGTAGAGACAGCAGGCTATGGGTTGAGGGCCTTTTCCATTGTGCGTGCTGAAAATGAGCAAAGGCTGGTCTGAGAAAGATATTGATAGATAGATGATAGATGATAGATAGATGGATAGATAGATGAAGCTGCAAGCAGAGAGGATAGAAAAGATATAGGAAGTTAAGATGATGTTCAAGGACCCAATTTTAGTTCATCGCTAAATCTCTAACTTCAGGTAGCATAATATGCTTCTCTATCTGTTCAATAAATTATGTTGGTGAAGTTGGTTCTCTTAATGGCAACCTAGATGATCTTAACTAATTTGCCATAGCATTATGCCTCTAACTTTTGTATAACATTTGTGCTTCCCCCAACTTTCAAATACCTGAGTTTTTTCAATTTTCTATCTTTGTCTCAAATTTCTTGCATTTAAGCTCTGAAAAAAAATCTCATAGCTCTAAAGAATGGTAATTGCAATGAGAAGCCAAGTTTTGAGCTTGTTTACAAACACAGACTAAGCTGCTGCTAGGGGTGTGAATTGTTTTGTTTGAAATAATAGAATGACATATGAAGTTGTACCCATATGGATGACCAATACATTTTAAAAGATTAATATAAAAAATTCCACTTCTTTAAAATCAATTTTAGGAAAAGCTGAAAGTGTCATAAAGAATATCGAGTAAAGATATGGGCCACTGTAGAAATCTGAAGGGAGCTTTAGATAATCTACCCAGGTAAATGCACATTTGCAAACAATTCGGTGGATGTTTAGAGAGTTCAAAGAGATCCCTGGATGTGAGAAACTAATTTTAATTAACTTTATATTTCTTCAGATAGTTCAACATTCTGTTTGACCACTAAAGAAAGGTAAAGGAGAAATTTATATGGAACAGAATTAAGCTGAACTCACTCACTCACTCACTCACTCACTCACTCACTCACTCACACACCTTATACTGTTCTGGCCCCATGGTAGCCAAATGAAGTCCAAATTCCTTGTTTGGCACATAAGATCATTCAAGTTCTTGTTCCTGCTTAACCTCTTGCAGTCCTCCATATCCTTTTTCTCCAGCCACATAGAGCCAGAAAAAAATAAGGCTCTTTTATTCCTTCCGCTCTTCCCTTTTGCTACCTGTGCATTGATTGGTTGGACTCCTCCTACTCATCCTTGAAGACCCAAGTCATATTTCACTTCTTGTAAGAAGCCTTCCCTGGCCGCTGGGTGGGGGGCGATTCTTTGCAGCCTTTTATCCAGCTCAGCACCTACTACAGGCTGTTGTAACAGTCGTTAGAATACCTGTCTCCTCTGCCAGAGATCTGGAGACTGGGCCTGACCTAGTCGTTTATGTGTCTTCAAGGTTTGGTTCGTGGCTGGCACATGCTTCTTAAGACATGTTTGCCGAATGAATAAGTGACTGAGTGAATGCTTTTCTCCAGGCAACAGGAAAGTTACTTTAAAACCTCTGCTTCAATTTGCCTTTCTGAAAAGCGGACGATGCGTGCTGTTTATACAGGAATGCGAGAAGACTCAGTTATCGCAGAGATGCAGCAAAATCCTCCAACAAGAGGTAAAATAAAAGAGCAAAGTATATTTTTTGATAATCTTATTCATAACAGACTTAACGCTCAAGGAGAAAAGCATGTGCGGTTGCTTCTTGCGTGGCAAGCGGCTTGCCAAAATGGATACTATTTTTCTAAAATATTTCCGAGTGTGAAGAGCTCGAAGAGGCCTCCCGTCATCTTAAGATGAATTATGTTCTAATCTGGGCATTTGAAAAACAACAACAGAAAAACTCAGGCTGGTTTTCAGTTCTGTCTGCATCTTCTCCTGGCTAAGTGCTGGGAATATTAAAACAGATTTTAACTGCTTGCCAGATTGTTTTTTTTTTTTTTTTTAAAGCAAAGAAAGAACCCATTATATTTTACAAATGTGACGTCTGGTGAAAAGGTCACTCTCAGTTTCTGGAAGCTAGACTGAAGATGTTAGAATAGGTCTCCTAACCACCCTTCATTTTGATGGCAGCTGGTGGATTGGTCACAGGCTTTGGAAGGACACCTGTACACACACAACTTGGGGCCGATGGCATGCCTGTCACCAAGTGGTGGTGAGGTCTCTGTGTGCAGACCAGCTAGGACAGGGACCAGCCCTCACTCCAGGAGTTCCGCTTCCCTTCTCTGCTGGAGGACTCGCAAAGTCAAAGACAGTCTGACATCAAGGCACTGGCTGAAAATTAAAAACCCAGAAGGGGGGCCCCACCAGGGCCCCGCCCAGCATCAGAGACTGGAAGGTGAAGGACGGGCGAGCCCTTCCCAGAGCTCCGTGCGCCAGGTGCATACCATATGGTCGGTCTTGCCTTGAGACCTCTCAGGAACTCCAGCCTGCGCTGAAACGGCATAGGTTTCCTTTCCTTTCTTCCCTGGACAAGAAATAAAAAGTGGAAGGGTTTAGTTTGGCCTCTTCATTTTAATACATACACACATCCCCCCGGGCGAAGAGGACGTTGAGGCTCTGCAATATGGCTGGCACGGTGTTAGGTGGAGGGTTCAGCAGTGGATGAGAAAGATCGGGTTCCTGTCCTGACGGCGCTCTCCACGAGGAGGCAGATGCTAAATAATTCTCACAATGATCATCGCATTACAAACTATCATAAACACAGCGAAGGAGACTGGGAAATATTTACACTTATTTTGGGGTATGTGTGAGAGTGGTAGAGGATCAAAGAAGGCTTCTTGGAGGAAGTGACACTTAAACTGGGGACCTGAAGGATGAGTAGGCGTTCGCAGGCGAAGGTGATGGGGGAGTACACACGGGGCAGAGAGTTCCAGATGAGCACAGGCCGTAGCCGTAGAACCGCCCTGAATCAGGGGGCCTTCTGCAGTCGGGGGTGTGGGAAGGGACCTCTTACAGTGGTCCTGTCTCTTAATACAGAAGTAGGCGCTCTGTCCCTCTCTCCACACAGGTGTGTGCCTGAAGGTTCAGGTAAAACCTCTGTCTTCTCCCTTCCTTGCTCCTTTCAATGGTCAGAGGTCCTGTGCAGGACGACTTGAACAGCATCCTTAACCCAGAGGTTCTCCTGTCCAGGTACACTTGCTCAGTTGGCTGCCGTCACGGATAGAGGGAATTTCTTTACAGTGCAGGAAGCCGCTAAAATCCTCTAAGGCAGTGGTTCTCAACCTTCCTAACACCCCGACCCTTTAATACAGTTCCTCCTTGTGGTGACCCCCCCCAACCATAAAATTATTTTCGTTGCTACTTCATAACTGTAATTTTGCTACTGTTATGTCTTAGGCCACCCCTGTGAAAGGGCTGTCCGACCCCCAAAGGGGTCGCGACCCACAGGTTGAGAACCGCTGCTTATTGTGGGAATCACTCATTCATCACTCCGAGCCTTCCATCAGACTGGCGACTCATTTGTTTTACAAATCGACACCATGACCACGCAGCCCAGGTTTCTGGGTGCTTCAGCTTCAACATTGAATGCATGACTCAAATATGCCAGTAAGAAATACATATTGCTTCTGAGTTGGGTTTCACTATTTTCAATAAAAATGGGTCACTCGGTACATTTTAAACAAGAGGTAGAGGGCGGCAGTGTCCCATAGTGGTGTGGGAGGGGGGTAAGAGGGGGCGGCTCTGAAGCCTTGGGTTCTAGTTCTGACTCCTTTCTCTACTGGCTGCATGATCTTGAGCGAGTTATTTGCCCTCTTTGTGTCTCAATTTCCACTTCTGTAAAATGGGGTTAATGCTGCCTATAGGTTACTGTGAAAGTTAAGTGAACTAGAAAAGGTAAAGCAAATACCTGGAGCATAGCAAGTTCTCACGAAGTGGTAACTAATAGAGTTACCTACGTAAGGATGTTTATACAAATAAAACCACCTATCATATTAAAAAGCCTCTTGTTAGACTTTTAACACTGCACCTGTGAGCCATTATGAATCTTCTTCCTCAGTTTCTTGATGAAGAAAACCATGGGATTTCATCATCATCTCCGAAGCCCCAGCAACCAGCATTAGAAGGACTCAATGCACGCTTGTTGCCTAACTGCAGAATCATGTGCCTTAATTTGGAGTTTGGTAAATAAAATCACTAAATATATAGTTCTGGTTCTCCAGTGCCTTTTCAGGCCCTAGAAGAGAAGGAATTTGCTCTGTATGTCTTTATCTTCCCATCCCTAACTCAGATGCTACACAGAGTAAAACTTATTGATGCTTAACAAGGCTCATGATGACAGCCAGTTAGGGCAGCCCCTTCCAGGCAGATCTAACCTAATCTGCTGAAAATTTAAGTTGTCATGGGAACACCCCATCACCTAGCAGCAGTGGCCCCTGGTTATTTCACCCAGAATGTGAAGGAAAGCTCTCTGTTTCCTTTAAATGAAAAAAGGGTCCAATTACTCTGAATCATAGAATTGGAGAGTTAAAGGGATTCTAGGACAATATATAGCATAAGGGCAGAAGGATAAATTTTGGTGTCAGACTTGCATGCTAATTCTTCCCTTTATAAGATTTCAGATTTTAATTTTGTCATTTGTGGAAAGGGAAGGATACCAGCAATTTGCAGTAATGTGGAGATTTAAAAAAAATTGCCTTAAACACAGGGCAGATGCTCAATACAGGATTTATTATTTGTTGTTGTGCTATAATTTTATGACCTTGAGCAAATCTATTTTGCCGGGGAAGAGGACTTAACATTAACTGTGATGTGCCAGGCATTTTTCTGGGCAATGCTCAAATGCTCTGTCCCTTTTAGAATAACACCTAGAACCTAGCCTTGTCCTAATTCTGTTTCTCCTTGCTGTCTGCACTTCTAAAAGTTCCATTAGGAGGAAATACAGGCCAGTCTTCCTGGTCTTTTTTAAGCTTCCCAGGCTCCCTCCTAATACCTATAAGCATATAAAAAGGTAATGATTTGCACATGTAAAAATCATTTGAGAAACCCCAAGGCAGAGCTATTTTTTTCTTTCTAACACGGCAGGAAGGATAAATAATAACCATCTGTCTAGTCTGCCAGTTGAAGATTTGTCCTGGAGGAAATAAGCCAAGCTGGCTTCTAGAGATTTCCAGGTGTCGGAAGGGTCAGGTTTTACAGGGCTTCCCATGGCTTCTGGTCGTTACACAGCCAGTACGCCTGTCTCCCCAAACCCCACTTTGGCCCCCAACTAATGACTTGAAATCACGGTCTTCAGTCCTGGCTGCTAATAGGCTCATACCTGGGAGCTTTGAAAAGGACCGATTCCAAGGCATCCCACCTGACCAATTAAATCAGAATCTCTCGGGGTGAGAACCCAGCTCAGGGCCTCTGCGGATTCCCTAGGTAGTTCTAAAGTAAGGCCAGGATAGGTAGCAACTGCTTTAAACAATGGCTTCCAGCCTCACTGGATCTACAGAACGACATTTTCGGGACAGGGTAATCAGTGCACGTCAAATATCCATCTGTGCCGGACACTTCCCACACGTTTTCCTACTTATCTAAAGAAGAACCCCGTGAGGCAGAAACTGTCTCCATTTGACAGATGAGGGAACCAAGGCAATGAACGTTTTAGTTACCTGCTTATGACAACGGAGGTGGGGGGAGGTGTGGGATTCAAACTCATTCATTTCTTCAACAGACAATTGCTAAGTGCTTACTAGACGCCGGGCACTGTGCTAGGCACCACGATACAACAATGAACAAGACACGATCTTCTCACGGGTGTGCATTCTGGTGGTGGGCAAACGAACAGATACGCGCGATAACGTCCAGTAGTGATAAATGCTGGGAATGCACCTGAAGCGGGTTATGGGCGTGGCAGGTACTGGCAGTTGCTATTTTTGACCGGGAATTTGCCCGGGGCCACTCTGAAGTGACACACAAATAGTGCCGTGAGAGAAGAAACGAGAGGGAAGGGCTGGAATGTCTGGGGAAAGCATTCCAGAGGGAAGCTGCGGCCAGGCCGAGGTCCCAACGAGGGCCCGGGCACTGGAGCGGGCGCGACCCGGCAGGGAGCCCAGCTGGCCCAGGGTCAAAGGGGGGAGAGATGGCCTAAGTAGTTACACAACTCAAGGCCTCCTGGGCCACGCGTGTGACCGGAGTTGACTTTATACTTTCGCCTTCCCAGCATCCTTGCCTTCTCCTCGTGATCGAGCTGCCTTTTGCTTTATGAGACCACTGCGTCCCCGTCCCAGGGCTCGGTCTCAAAGTGCTGAAGTCTAGGCTGAGTCTTACACGCAATCAAGAGTGGTGTCTTCACAAGAAACAAGAGAGAAGAGTTTAGAAATAGAGACACAGAAGGGGGAAAGCCACGTGAAGACAAGAGGCAGGGTTTGGAGTTATGCAGACACAAGCCAAGGAGTGCCTGGGGGCCCCCAAACCTGGAAGAGGCGAGGAAGGACCAGGCCACTGCTGACATGACTGCTTTCAGACTTCTGGAGTATGGGAGGACACGTTCCCATTATCTAAGCCACCCAGTTTGTGGTAATTGGTTACAGCTGTCCTAGGGAAATGACTACACTCCCCATTCTCTTTCTGCTCTCTCAGCTTCCAATATTCATATAACCAACCCCCTACTTTCCCGCTGTGAGCTCCCTGTTTGACACACCCAGTAAGGTTTCTGTTTTTCTGCTGGAATACAAACCGACATGCTTCCCCACCCCCAAACTCTCAGTACCTTGTGTTTTGATCGAAAGGTCATCAGTACATGGCTGATGGATATAGTAAATAGAGAAATTGCAGCGGCAGATTAATATCAATGCCTACTTTTTCACCTGTCATATTTAAAACTTGCCAATTGCTAAATATTTTGCCCAATTCATCCTTATAATTGCACTTAATAACATGTCTTGGAAATCTTCCCGTATCAGGCCATGTTATTACAGTTGCATAGTTTTATGGAACTATGGACATACTATAATTTAAGTATATGGTCTCTGAAGAATCTTTATATTGCTTCCATTTATTAAAGCATTAAAAAATGCTGCAATAAACATATTTATAAATCTTGGAGGGTGTTTTTGGTGCACTATCAGTCAGATAGGTGCCCAGCGGTGGGATTCCTACATCTAGGGACTGTGCGATTCAAGTTTCAATAAACAGTACCAACTTCTGTAAGTGTGCTGTGCCGCATTCCCTGTAAAGGGCTATCACTAGAGAATGCTTCACGATGTAATAAAAACTAGAGACTTATGCATTTTATGATTCAACTGGCCTAAAAGAATAGTCATTAAGGTAATCCTCACTCTTATTTTTTCTGCACTGGTGAACCATTTACATTTCTGGGAGCAATAAGATCAAACCCAACAAGCACACAGCTGGAGCTAAGCATTAGAGACAACAATAGCTCTGGGAAATAGAGGTCCCTGGAGGATCCATATTGGTGAACTCACCTGTAGGCAAATCAAATGACGAGTCAGAGGAAGCTCTGCTCAACAACTCAACAAAATTCTGCCATCTGTGCAAAAAAGGAGACAAAATATCAGTGATTGATATCATTGGCCTAGAAGAATGTGCAATAAAGCTCAAAGTTTACATGGATAATTTTGAAGGAGCTTTAAAAATTTTCAATCCTCACCCAAGGACATGCCTAGAGAGAGGGAGGGAGGGAGGGAGGGAGAATGGGAGGGAGACACAGAGAGAAAACATCGGTGTGAGAAACACCTATGGGTTGCCTCTGTAAGCTCCCTGACTGGGGAGCAAACCCTCAACCTAGGTATGTGCCCTGACTGGCAACCGTTTGGTGCACAGGATGACACCCAACCAACTAGGCCACTCTTGTCGGGCTTGAAGGTGCTTTCTGATACCTCATTATTCAGGGTGTAATGCAGGAAACAGAAGCTCCTTTAAGTATCTCCACGAGAAAAGGCTTTAATATAAGGAATCCGGTGCCCACAAACGACTGCAAGGGCCAGTGGAATGGAGGTTGATGTCTGCTGCTAGGATCGGGGTCAGGCCTCCGTAGATCATCTAGAACCAGGGGACTGCAGGAAATTTGGGCTCATGTTGAGGTCCCCCTGATAAGGGTGGAACTTAAATCCACCCCAGGTTGGTGATCGGGCAGTACAAACTGCATTTCGGCCGCTGGAAAACTGATGCCTGTCAGGGCCTGGGGTTCCCACTATTACAGGAAAATAAATACTTAACGTATCTCTGTCCCTCTTCCTACTTCCTTCTGTCTGTCAAATCTCAGGCAGTTGCATCTCTCTGATGGAGCTCAAATCAATTCCAGAACCTCGGTGTCAAGAGAGTTTGAAAATGTTTTTAGCCCTCCCAAGTATGGGAAGTATTGCAACACAGAAAAGAACATAGGAGGGAGCAGAAGCACTGCTGAGTGCAAATAGACAATATTCAGTGAAGTCCCCAAGCAGAAATTGCATTGAGCAATACATCTATCTGCATGTGACAATCAGGGGATCATAAGGAATGCTTTGGTTGTGAAAAATCATATATATTTGCTTACCCAGCATCCATTCATCCATCCTCCATTTATATATAAATATATTTTTCTCTGGGGTAATAGACCACAAGTGAGGTCCCATACCCCTCCCCTGACAGTGTTGTGACCACCTTGTCTAATCTCTCACATTCTGTTTTCACCTCCCCCTCTTCTCTGTCTCTTTATCTCTCATAATTTTTGGTTTGGTACTTCCTGAAGTTTTATTTTTTCCCTAATTTTGTGGGCTACTCCATATCCTTTCAAAGTATGTATTTCGCTAATGTTAGCCAAAGGCAGTCTCTGTTGCTAGCAACCAAATTGCAACTGACAAGAATTTTTATCTCCTTCTTGCCCATTGCAAGTTAAGCAAAAATAAAGAGCAAGGTGTGAGATATATGTCCTCGGTTTTCTAGAAGAGTTCTAGTGTCATGTGATTTTATTCTCTTTAAATAAAAATAATTCATTAGATGTATAACTAGTTTTGCTTATATTGCATTAAACTTTTCCTGGACATGATATCACAAATCGGCAAAGTCCTTAGATCTGTATAGAAAATATGGCCTCCAGAGCTTCATTCATTTTTGGGCACATGAATAGTGGAACCACAAGCCAGAGAAGCTGATGACTGCATCAGCCGCTGAAGGCCAGGCAGGGAAGGTGAAGTAGCACTCTCAAGGATCTGCTATCAGCGCGGATGCGGAAATGAACTGCAACAGAAGTAGCTCCTGTCTTCTACACTTGCTGCAGTTTATTTCCAGGCGCTCTTAGGAGAGCCAAGCTTATGCCTAGAGCATCTTCTGAGCTGTTGAGAAACAACAGTGTGACAATAAAAACCCAGATCCACTGATATTTTCACACTGCGTAGCATTCATTCTTCAGAACTGTTAGGAGTTACCGAATGTGCGATGAGGCCTCCGGACCCAGTGGCACTGGAAACTCTGCTGCCCCTTCTTGATTATGTGCTGTTAGTAGGGGAAGGAGACGGGGGGGGGGGGGGGGGGGGGGGGGGGGGATTTTTCTAAGTTTTGAATTTGGACATTACCTGATTTAAATGATGTATAGGACTCATATGACCAATACAATTCTTAAGATCCTTCCAGTAAAATGTTTTCTTTCTTCCCATGTAAAATTTTAAAATTGAATTTATTAGGGTGACACTGGTTAATAAAAATTATATAGGTTTCAAATGTACAATTCTATGATACATCATTTGTACATTGCATTGTGTGCCCATCACCCAAATTAAAATCTTCCATATCCTTTATTTGACCTTAGGACCTTCCAAAGGCCATTGACAACTTAAATGTGAGAACGGGCTCTGGTTGCCATAACAGGCACTATAATTCTCATCAGAGAAGCAGGTGCCAAACTCCCAATATCAAGTCTAAGAAATCAGGACTGGAGGACAAGATCTGTGAGCCTGATCCTAAATTCAGACAGATCTGAGTTCAAATTCTAACTTCATTAAATTTATTAAGTTAAAATGGCCTTCAGTGAGCTTTCTGAGTACTTTATAGGCATTTCTCATTTAATTAGAACAACCACTTTATGGGACCTGTAAATCACTTGCCCAAGGACAGGGATCAATGGAGCAGTCAGGATTTAAACGCTGGCTGTCTGACTCCCACTCCTGTGCCCTTGACCACTGCACTATGCGGCCTTACACATGAACGTAATATAACATTGCCTTACTTACATTTTTTTCCTCCTTGGACTTCCATGAACACAGCTCCACTATCTTTTGACATTTATTATTGCAGAAGTTTGAGGTCAGTCTGATTTTTGCTCATTTATTATTAATTGGTTTGTTTGTTTGTTTTTTATTTATTTGCTTTGGTTTAGTTTTATTTTGTTTCTGACCTGGAGCCTTAAATACTTTTCTTTGTCTTTGTTATGCAAACGTTTTGCCGGGATTGACATGGATACATTTTTTCCTAATTTAATTTAGAGCATAGTGAATCCTTTTAATCTGTACACAGACAATATATTTTTTCCCCATCTCTGCAAAGTTTCTTCACTTGTAACTTTTGCTTTCACATCTTGTCCAATATTTCCATTTTATTATTCTACAATACCAAGACTTTTGGGGTTCAATTTCTAATCTTATTCTTTTACATCTGCTATCTTTTATTTTCTTCTCTATTCAGATTTTGTGGGAACCTCTCAAAATTCACATTATGTATTAGATTTTTTTTAGTGTTAATTTTGCTTTTTTATTGAGTCCTGATTACCTCTTTTTCTTTTTTTTTTGGTAAATAATATTTTATTGAAACACAGCCACAGCCATTATTTATGTGTTGTTTATGACTGCGTTCAGGCTACAATCACATAACTGAGTAGTTGCAACAGACTGCAGACCTACTAAGCCTAAAACATTTACTATCTGTCCCTTTATACAAAATGTTTGCTGATGTAAACATTTATTTTTATTTTTATTTTTTCCATTTTTTGCACAGATAGAGTGGGAGGGAGAGAGAGGAAGAGAGAGAGAGAGAAACATCGACGTGAAAGGGACACATCGAGTGGCTGCCACCTGCACGACCAACCAGGGCTAGGGACAAACTGCAACCGAGGTACATGCCCTTAGCGGGAACCGAACCCGGGTCTCTCTGACCGCAGGCCGATGCTCTAACCGCTGAGCCAAACGGGCCAGGGCTGCTGATGTAAACATTTAACATAAATGCCATCATATCCTTAAATCTCTAGCAGTATTCAGATTTCTTGTTACATTATTTATATAAGATTACATTGGTTTCAGGTGTAGAACAAAATAATTCAACATATGTACATATTGTGAAATGACAAACACAGGGAATCTAACATCTCCCACCACACATAGTTACACTCCTGGTTACTTCTTAATTCTGCTACAGAAGTTCTATTTGCTCAAAACTACCCAGAGTCCCCAAGGTTTTTTCTAAAATTTTCTATTCACTTTTTAGGCTTTTCAAATTTTATTTTTATAGCCTTTTAATCTAATTACGCTTATTACTTTCCAATTCATTTCAATAGAGGTCATGGCTTCTTTCATCCTATAGAGAACATAGCTGGTTTTCTAAATGTTTTCTAGTTTCTAGAGTAAGTGATTCTCAAAAGTTTGTTGTTATTTGGAGTTTGCAGGTTGTGATCCCCTCTTTATGTTCATGGTTTTTTTTTTTTTAATTCTGCTTTATATGTTGGGTTTTCTCTTTCTTCAGGTCAGATGAGGAACTGCCCCCAGTCAGCACAACACTACGGAAGGGTTGTGCAGACCTTCCTTGGCCCGCCCGCTGCTCATTTAATCCCGTGGTTAAGGGCAGGTGGCAAGGCCACCAGTGCTTGGATGCCTGGTGCCCCTCAGCTGAAATACTCAGAGGTGGGACCTTCTTACCTCACCTGCTGAATAGCAGACGCTAAATTGATGTAGCATACCATAACCAGCGTACTCAGCATATACAATTGCCCATCCACACAACTGTATTTTCAGGAATTTTGCTTCCCCACATACAAGCATCATAGCCAGTGTTGTCCTTTCCCGCCTTCCTGGGAGTTTGTATCTCTGCATAGGCACCAAAAGCAATGTGTGGTGGTGACCACGAATAGAAATAACCTGCCAGCTGGTGTGGCTCAGTGGCTGAGTGTCAACCCATGCACCCAGAGGTCACCGGTTGGATTCCCGGTCAGGACACATGCCCAGGGTGTGGGCCCCATCCCCAGTGGGGGGCATGTGGGAGGCAGCCAGTCGATGTTCTCTCTCATGGATGTTTCTCTCTCTCTCTCTCCCTCACCCTTCCTCTCTCTCTAAAAATCAACGAAGAAAAAATATTTTAAAAAAAGAACGAACCTGCCAAATACTCCTTGTGGTTAGTTGGGCTCAAATTAATAACCAGAGTCTAGCAGCCATTGCTGACAGAGGCCTCTCACACACACTGCACTTTAGGGAAAAAGCCACAGACTGAGCTGCAGCCTCTCCTGCTGTGTTCCTGCTGGCTGAGCCCTTCCTTCTAAGGGAGTTCCTGGAATCGTCTTTCAACCAATAGGCTGAGACCTGCCCAGTCCAACAACAATGTACAGTTACAGCCTCATTTGCATCTTTACTGACCAATCAGAGCAGCTCCATAATACTAATCAGATGTGTGATTCAGACTAGTCAGGATGGTGCTATTTGGACCGATCAGAATGTGCAAATTTAGATTTTTCATTTGCATAGAAATGGACCAATCAGGGAGGGAAGGGGCGGAAACTTTATATAAGCAGGCCTTCCCTTTACCACCCTGAGAATTACCTTTTTCCTTTCCAGGCCTCTCTGGTTTGCAAACTGTTTACCTGAATAAAGTTTTTCCTGTTTACAAACCCTGCACTTGGAGCTCCCGTTCTAATTAGATTGGTGGCAGTGACCTGTTGTTAGCAGGTAAGTGTATATTTGTGTGTCCTTGGGTGGGGGGAGGAGGAGGCGGGAATAGTGCTCCAGCAGCACCTGTGTTATTCTCTGGTTGGTTAAGACTTGGGGCCTCCCAGTCAAGGGGAGGGTGTGGTGAAGGCACAAACTACATTGTCTTCTGCACTTCTTTTGGGTAGGCAGGGTAAAGCTCGGGGAACCAACTCTGATTTTCCCAGCTTCCCTTTATTTATGGGTGGTAGATTCTGGCACTATTAGTTTTGCTACTGGTGTCATATTTTGTCTCTTCATTTGTTCACCAGAGTTTTAATCAGGGGTCATGAAGCAGATGACATTACATACAAAATATCTTATGTATAGAAGCAAGACAAAACAAAAGCCAAACATACAAAATGCGAGCTATTTCATAGAAACACCCTTGAAATCATGATGAAATTAATTACAGGTGGCATTTTTCTCGGTGTTTCATACAGGCTTAGGTTAAAATGAGTTCATGAGGGCAGGCCCTAATCCAATCAAAGGTGTTCAGGTGCTTACGTCCCCAGTCTATTACCTTTTTTCCCCAAATTTGCTATGCTTTTGCTTGCTTTTTTGTCTCAGTACATGCTGCTCCTTTTCTCTCTGAAGGACTCTTCCCCACCTCTCATCTGGCTAGTTCCTACCAGTCCCACTGAGCTCAGCTGAGACACACTGCGGACAGTGCTGAAGAGAAGTCTGTTCAGGTTGCTAGACTCAAGGTTAACTCCCGTGATTTGAAGAACTGAATCATTCTAGCCACCCCTTTGGGGTTGTAATCTTCTATGCCAGCTGAGAGAGTACCCCGTACCTAGAAGGAGGAGGCAGAGAGGAAGGAGACTGTGGACACTGTTAGCCTGTAGGGGCTGTCTAGTTTCCTCAGGCCACCATAACAGTGTGCCACAGACTGGGTGGCTTAAACAACAGAAATGTATTTTCTCACGGTCTGGAGACTAGGAGTTCAAGATCAAGGTGTCAGCAGGTTTGGCTTCTTCTGAAGGCTTACAGATGGCAGCCTTCTTGCTGTGTCTTCACATGATCTTCACATGATCTTTTTTCTAGGGGTTCGTATTTCCTCTTCTTATAAGCACACCAGGCAGATTGGATTAGGGCCTGCCCTCATGAACTCATTTTAACCTATTCACCTCTTTAAAGGCCTTATCTTCAAATATAGTCATAGTATAAGGGGTCCTTGGGGTAATGGTTTTAAATATGAATCAGGAGGGGGTGGGGATATAGTTCAGCCCGTAACAGGAACACAGATTCAAAGACATCCAACTTTTGAAATAATTTATTTAAAATCTCTGAACCTCAGTTTTCTAATCTGTGAAGTGGGTATGAAAAATATAACTCCTGGGGCTGTTGGGAGTATGGAAAGAGATAACCCACATAAAGCATCTAGCACCATGTCCGGGACATGTTAGGTGCCTTGCATCAATGTTTTTTGTTGTTGTTGTTGATCCTTACCTGAGGATATTTTTTCCATTGATTTTTTTAGAGAGACTGGGGGGCTGGGAGGGGGGGGGGAGAGAGAGAGAACATTGATGCGAGAGAGAGACATCCATTTGTTGCTTCCCGCACACACCCTGACCAGGGCCAGGGATCAAACCTGCAACCCGGGTACGTGCCCTTGACTGGGAATCAAAGCTGGTCTGTGGGCCAATGCTCTGACCACAGAGCACACAGGCCAGGGCTTGCATCAGTCTCACACCTTCAGCTCAGGAGGTTATTCGAGTCACCTGCTGGGTGCTCATGGAACTGTACTATCTTCCTTGGCTTCCACCTTTTTGGTCATGTAGCTAAGTTACATTCTTATTGTCTTGCATATTAACTCTGAGAAGCAGAGCCCTTCCCTGATACACAGGCAATAAACTCCAATTCAGACAAAAAGGTTCTTTTTCCATTTGGCAGATGGAAAATAAAGATTAAGATAAATTATTTACTTGCCCAATTTTCCAAAGCCAGAGCACTTCTGAGTTAGGATTTCCCTCTCGGCCCAGGTGACTCTGGAGCTTCTCTGCCTTTCTGCACGGGTGGGGCAAAGGGATAGTGGGAGTCTCAAGCGGTGAGAAGAGGTTACTTGCAAGCCCTGGTTTTCTTTGGATCATATTTGCTCCTGGAACTTAAAAGCCTCCCTGCCTTTGTATCTGTATCCTACACCTGTCCTGGGTCCCAGAGGAGAGGGCAGGAGATGCTCAGCTCCTGGTTCTGGTACTGTGTTCCGTATCAAATGGAGCCAGCCCCGGACCTCAGGCAGTTTGCCCAAGGCCTCTGTGCCTAGCCACCGTCCTGGAAACTTCTGAGCGTCACAGGACTTGTAGGAGAGTCAGTATAGTGTATTAAGAGCCAAGACCCCGAAGCTAGAGAGACTGCATTTGATTTAGCCTATTGATGAATTAATTTATCAGTTACAATTTATTTTAGCTCCTCTGTGCTTCAGTTTCATCATCTGAAAAACAACAGTACCGACCTCATGGGGGTGCTTGCAGAGAAGAAAAGAGTCAATATTTATAAAGTACTTAGAACATTGTCTGGACTATGGTAAGCACTGTATACATGGCTATTAATAACAACAATACATTTATTATTATTGTTCTATTTACCCCATATGAATTATGGGCTTCTGGAAGAGAAGACTGGAATTAATGAGCTCTTAAAAACCAGGTCCAGTTTCCAAGACCGAATCAATGGGTAGATCCAAACTCACATCTCTAATAGCTCGCCGCATAACAATTTTCTACTCTCATTAAAAAGCAATTGCTGAATCAGACACCTCATGTTTCCTTTATCTCTTAAAACCCTCTGGTTGTTCCTGGGATTATCAAACCAGTCCTTTTCAACCTAATTGCACTCTTAATAATGGGCCAGAAGTGTATGGTAAGTCTACTTGTGGCTGTGTCTGTTGCTCCACTCTATTTATGAAGCGTCCATAGCAGCTTCATTATTTATCCCCAACCCAACACAATTGGGCTTGTGTGCCTGTGTTTTAAACTGGGCTTGAAGCGTTTAATTTTGCCAATACAATTTTAGAGTATTAGTTTGCCTCCTGTTCTCTCTCTCTGCCCTCCTTAATTACCATTTATTGCAAAGTCACACAGAAACATTAAATGCTAATTCTGACTTACATGTTCCTGGCCAAGAACAGGGATAATAATTTCCATCCAACACAACCTGAACTCATTTTACATCAGGGTGGTTCAGAGCAGAGATTTGAAATCGCAATCAAGTCTTTCTCAAAATCGCCTTACCCTGGCAGTCATTCAGTAACGTCTCTGCTAATTGGTAGGCAAATTGCAAAAAATAAAATTTCAATGTTACAAGAAAACACACACAAAAAGCAACAACTTTGCAACAGCATTTACGAAATTGCTCCTCTCATCAGCTCTTGCAACGTGACAGTTTAAGAAGAGAACACAATTTATTTTATTTGGTTAGATGGGGCTAATCCCACATCACCATAATCCCTCCTGATGTTTTATTGATTCTAAAGGACATTTAATCAGGAAGCAGCTCAGCACTAGAATCCTGCTAATTAGGAAGCAGCCACATTCCAAATGGGTTCCCAATTGAACAGCAGATTAATGGACAATATGTACTAAAATAATGATTCGTGCATTCAGCTCCTGAAATGTGCGTCTAAATTGCATCTTTAATCTCTTAAGGATATAGGTTTGCATACAAAGCCCTTAACGGAATGGATTTCATTCACCAGAAGAAGCTTTAGCCAATGACTGTTTAGGGATGAAACAGGTTTATCACTTATACATGCAATTCTTCAGTTGTTTCATGGTTTTGATGTCCTTGAACATCCAAAGGTCAAAGACAGGTGAATAAAGAAATCAGTGTGCTTCTCTGATAGGCACATTAAACGGAGGATGTGAAAATACTGATATAATTATAAGTGGCCTAACCTCATTTGCTCCTCATTCACTCGTATTCTCATATCTCTGAGTCTTTGTATCTTGGTTCTGAACACCAACTTTTAACCGAGTATACTATATACCAGGTATAATGTGAGCTTTGATACTTGCATTTCCTCCCTTTGTATTGTTGCCTTTTGGGGCCTCCTCATTTTAGTTGATTGGTTTTCTACTCGGCTCTTAGTTCACGTCTCTGCTTTTGCTGTGTAACCACCTCCTTCTGCCTTCACACACCCACCCCCCAAAGTTTCAGAGAAGAGAAACTGCCATGTCCAAAGCTGGTCTGGCAGAAATGCATTGACTAAGCTCAAACTTCTCTCATCATTTATTTATCAACTGGTGCTTCCCTTAACCTTTTTACCCTTCTTTGTTTTTCTGTATTGCTCTTATCACCATGTGATACGTCACACCTTCCAGCTTGTTCTTCTTCCCCTTTAGAATATAAGCTTCATGAGGGAAGAAGCTTTGTTTTATTCAGGTCTATATTTCCAGTGACTAGAATAGTGATTGGTGTACCGGAGGCATGCGATAAAGGTTTGTTAAGTAAATCAATGAATCAATATTTTACTGTGTGCTTACCATGTGCTAGATACCAGCCTACAGGATGTTGACAATAAAATGTGAAGGAAACAGTCATGTTTTTTTGCCAGCGTGGAGATCACTATCTAGACGTTAAACTAACAAATCACACAAATAAATCTGTAATTACAAACAGGGATAAGTGCCAGGAAATGTATTATCAAGGGGCCTGCTTTGGATGAAGTGGTGAGAGAAGACCATCTTCAATTTAAAAGTTTTTTTTTTTAATGTTTTTACTTTTTTAGAGAGAGAGGAAGGGAGAGAGAGAGAGAAACATCGATGTGAGAGAGATACGTCCATTGGCCACCTCCTGCACGCCCCCTACTGGAGATGGAGTCTGCAACCTGGGCATGTGCCCTGACCAGGAATTAAACCAGGACCTCTCAGTCCATTGGATGCTCAATCCACTGAGCCACACCGGCCTGGAAAGCCATCTTCAATTTGTATCTATATTCTTAAGAGTATCTTGACACTATTCTTTTTCTAGTTCAGTTCAATTCCATATTTGTTGAATACCTACTATGTGACAGACACTACTTTAGACCCTTGGGATAGATCAATGAGTAAAACAAAGATCCTGCCTGCCCTATGACACTATAGTTTATCATCTACCGGAAATCCACAGATAACAAAACTAAACATCACACATCAGCAAATTACCTAACACATTAGAAGTTGATAAGTGTATAGATGTTGATAAGTGCAAAAGGAAAGCAGGTTAAGGGTAAGAGTGAGTGGGAACTACAGCTTTAAATAGGGTGGTTAGTGTCGGCCTCACTGATAAGGTGACATTGGAGCAAAAACTTGGAAAGGGGAGTGAGCATGAAGATGTCTGGGGAAAGAGCATTGTAGGCAGAGGAAACATTTGGAGGGTAGGTGCTAAGGTAGATATGTGCCTGGTGTGTTGGAGGAAGACAAGGAGGACAGTATGGCTGAAACGAGGAGCAAAGAAAGTTGGATGGAGCCAGAGAAGTGACAGGGGAATGGATCACATAGAAGAGTTGATAAGGACTTGGATTTTTTTTTTTAAACCTCTGAGTAAAGTAAGATACTCTTTTTTTTTTATCCTCACTCGAGGACATTTTTCCATTTTTTGTTCAGGTAGAGTGGGAGGGAGAGAGAGGAACAGAGAGAGAGAGAGAAACATCGACATGAAAGGGACACATCGAGTGGCTGCCACCCGCACAACCAACCAGGGCCGGGGACAAACTGCAAGCGAGGTACATGCCCTTAGCGGGAACCGAACCCCGGTCTCTCCGGACCGCAGGCCAACGCTCTAACCGCTGAGCCAAACCGGCCAGGGCGAAGTAAGCTACTCTTTCAGTATTATGAGCAAAGCAATGACACGAACCGTTTTAGGTTTTGATAGGCCACTCTAGCTGCTGTATTGAGGATAAACTAGGGACAGGGGAGAAGAGAGTTTAGTTCGAAGGCTATTATAGTAACACAGGAGGAAGATAATGGTAGCTTGGATGGGGTGTAGTGAAGTAACAATAAAGGTGAGAAGCAACCAGGTTCTGGGTATATTCTGAACACAGAGTTGATTTATTAATGGATTGCTGATGAATTAGATATGAAATGTGGAAAAGAGAAAAGCCAAGGATTGCTGGTCTGTTGTGTTTTCATTTTAATCCAGTAAAACATATTTTATCATTCTCTCTGTGATTTATTCTTTGACCATAGGTTATTTAAAAGTATATTATTAGACTGGGGTTATTGGTTTTGGCTCTCTCTCTCTCTCTATCCTCCACATCTCTCATTATGCTCATGCTTTGATGAGCATGTGAAGTATGTTTGTCATCGCTCTTTTCATGCCCTTATCTACTATTTCTATCATCTGTTTATGAGTTTGCTTCTATTAATTGTTTTTTCTTCTTCTAATGGTAGATTATACGTTTCCATCTTCTTTTCATGCCTGCTAGTTTTTGTAGAAAGGCCAGAAACTGTGAATTTTATATTTTTGATATATTTTTATTCCTTCAGAAGTTTTAGGGCTTTATTCTTGGACGCAATTAAGTTGGAAACAGTATGATCATTTTAAGCTTTATTAGGGCTTTTAAAATGTATTAATTTGTCTAGGGCAATTTGGCCTCACTACAGCACGATGCCCTTTCAGGGACGCTATTCAGTGCCACCTGTGTTCCTCTCTGATTTGTGAAAATCGGAACTATTCCCAACCCTGTGTGAGATCTCAGCATTTTCCCACCTCTTTCTTTTGGTTTTTGTTTCTCTGGACTTGGATAGTTTCCTCAAATGCGTACGTTGGCTAGTATTCACGTAAAGACTCTAGGGCAACTCTTTGGAAAACTCCAAAAAGAACTCTCTGGGGATCTCTTCTCTCTGCTACTCTGCACTGTACATTCTACTTTTTTTTTTTTTTAATCCTCACCCGAGGACACTTTTCCATTTTTTGTTCAGATAGAGTGGGAGGGAGAGAGAGGAAGAGAGAGAGAGAGAGAGAGACATCGACGTGAAAGGGACACATCGAGTGGTGGCCACCTGCACAACCCATCCAGGGCCGAGGACAAACTGCAACCGAGGTACGTGCCCTTAGCGGGAACCGAACCTGGGTCTCTCTGGACCGCAGGCCAACGCTCTAATCGCTGAGCCAAACTGGCCAGGGCTGCACTGTACATTCTTGGCCTTCCTGAACTCCCCACTCCATCCCTTTAGCTCAAGGAGAATGCTGGACTTCTTATAGATAAGCTGAGCTTACCTCGTTTTCTCTCTCGCAAGAATCACTGCTCTGTGCTGCCCATTGTCCAGCATCTGAAAATCAATGCTTCATATCGTTTGTCCTGTCTTTTAGTTGTTTAAGGTAGAATGGTAAATCTGATTGTTGATTGTCTGTAATCACTGGAAACGGAAGTTCACTGCTCTTGCACTTTTATGGCTAAGTAAAGCGTTTGGTCTTAATATAAGCAAACGTTTCTCAACTCTGTCTTTAGGTGATGGAATTGATTGTTTCACACATAAAACTTCTAGTTTAAAGCTAGATCTGTGTTTGGGATCTTTTCAGAGGACTCTATGAATTAAAAATCAACTTACTTTATTTCATTCTGGTGAGCCAAGTCTTGGTGGCTAAGCAATGTTTCCAGAAGACTCAGAGTCAAATATAATCCGTGTTTCCCACATACAGCCCTGACCTGCAAATCAGAAAGAATTTTTGTCACTGTGATAAAATTAAAATTTGAATTTCCCTCCCACAGTTCTCTATATAATTCCTATACGATTTTGACAAAGAATTAATACCCTAGAGCAATTTGTACCATCAGGATATTGTTCAAGACAAAACTGTCCAGTAGAATGCTCGACAGCAGCACCTTTCTACTTGGTTGACAGAGAGGCATAGTTCATCACCCAGAAGTCACTGAACTTTAAAGTTCTGACCTTATATTCTTGTCAGCCATGGACTTGGTGGTCAAGGCCTAGAAATTACATACACTTATTATATAGGTAAATTGAAAAATGTTTTTAGTACATCTACTTTGATTTACAAAACAAGCTTGTTGCAGTAGTATAGTTGATATTACTGCCTACATCGTACATGGGAGGGAACGAGATGTAGAGAAGGTAAGTGACTTTTTCAATGCCACATGGAACTTAGTCTGGAACAGAGGCTCCAAACATCACTTGCTGGATGAATGAACGCAGCGCACTACGGTTCCTGTGTGTTCAGTATCTTCTGCGTCCAGCTGACGAGCCAGCCCGGCTCTCAAGTTGGTGGGTGGGTGATACTTAGATTCAAACATGTCAGACTTTTAGGGGTGTGAGAGCATATGTTGTATGGTTAGCATCATGTTTAAGCATATAGTCTTTGGAATAAAACAGGACTTATTCCGAACACCCAGTCTGCTGCCTGTTATCTGTGTGACCTCGGGAAGTTACTCAACCTTGCTCTGCCCAGTTACTTCATCTACTAAAGAAGCCAGTGTTCCTACTTCCTAGGATTCTGTGAAGATTACATGAAAAATAAACGGTTAGAATAGTGCCCGGCTTTTAGTAGACATTGGGTTAATATCTATTGAATGAAGAAAAGAAGAAAGGGAGGGAAGAAGAAAGAAGAAAAAGAAGAGGAAAGGAAGGGAAAAGAAGCAGGAAGAGAAAGAATAAGAAAGAGGGAGAGAGGAAGGGAGAGAGAATAGAAAGAAGGAAGGGACAAAGAATAAAGAACAGAGAAATGTCGAATTTAGTGTTTGGTCTAAATATTATTATTTTGAAAGCAGTTTCAGTATAATAACTGCATTAAGCGTGTCTTTATATTCTGATCTGATTTTTTAACATCATGGGGCTTTGCTGACTTTGGAGATTGCTCCTCCCAGGGCTAGCCAATTCCTAGATATATTAAAGGGCTGGCTACACAGTGTGCCTTTCATGTGCAAACCAACCACTTCCTTTATTGGGGCTTTCACACTTGGGCCACTGTTTCCCTGTCCCTGTCACCCCAGGGCCGAGTACCAGGTAAATGAGAACAGACCCTATGCCCCAGGGCCATCCTACACCTGCCTACCCGGGCTTGCCCACTCCACAATGAAGGCTCCTCTGATCCTCTCTGCCTCCTGCTAGACCCTGGTGCTTCCCCCTGGGCCTGTGTGGTGTGCCATGCCCCCTCCTCTCGGGAACTATGAATAACATATTATTTTTCCAATGACAACCATCTCTTGATCTGTTGGTCTGGCCATATCTGAATAATAATAAAACCTAGACTTTGAAATGGAAACAAAAAGGTCATTTTCACTTGTCTGTATGGAAGAAAACGAACAAATCTGGGTTTGAAACTTGCAAGTATTACTTACTAGGGGTAGAGGAGTTGTGTCAGGGAAGCGTAACAGGAAATAAAGGATCCATTTGAAACATGAAAAAATGACTAAGTTTGTCAGGAGAATAAAGCGTTGGGGGGAATTTCAGGTAGGAGAAAAGCATTGTAAATAGTGCGTGAGAAAGAGCATGGTGCTTCTTAGACACTGCGTGTGTTTTGGCATCTTATCCACCATATATTCCATGCCCCGTCTGTGCTGGGCAGTCATTCATTATCTGTTCATTAGAGCTTCTCTGCAAGACAGTGCTTACCGACTGGTGGAACCGCGTGTCATTCGTGTTCCTATCACCACTGCCTAGCACACTGTTAAACAATAAAAGATCCATAATTACTGAGTAAATTAATATATAGATGCATGAGGAAGTGAATGAATGAGTTGAAAACACTGAAGAGTGGAGTGTGCATGGTCAGAGGTTAACAAAAAATTAATTTCGAGAGGTAGAAATTAGTCACATTATTCCACTTTACTCCATAAATAAGAATTGATTTATTGTTATGATTAGAGCATATTAATGTATTTTATTTTATTTTTGAGAGAGAGAGAGGAAGAGAGACGCAGCGGTGTGAAAGAGAAACATTGATCGGTTGCTTCCTGCATGTGCCTTAGCTGGGTACACACAACCTGAGCATGTGCCCTGACTGGGAATTGAACCCGCCACCTTCTGTTGTTCGGGACAACACTCCAACCAACTGAGCCACACTGGCCACACCTCCAACTGATGATCTATTTTTAAACATCAATATTAAAAGGTTTTTCTAAAAACCAGTTTATTTACTTCTGGCAATATTGGGTTTTGCTCAAGGCTAAAACGAGCAGCAGATTAGAACTCGTGCATCACAGTTCCTCGAAGCAGATTGATTGATAGCTGCAGGGAACTGATGGCTGACAGCTGTAGAGGAGTAATAAAAATATCCACCAGAAAATCCTGGCAAGCTAGTGTTATTCAGGATTATTACTAAAATCCTCTAAAGCATGGATGGTATAGTGATGACCCTTGTTCAATAAGAGAGTGTTATGTGACGTTTCTTCTGTTTAATAAGGGATTTAAAAAAATCTAATGTAAATAAATGATCTCTGTTATTTAGAAAATGATATGTGCAATAAATATTCATTTCCCCAAAACGCTCCTTGAAAGAGCGGTGCACAGATGCTGTCTCAACTTCCTCTCTTCCCACTTACGGCTTCATTTGCATTTACCCCATCACTATACTTACACTGTGTTCACCAAGTCACTAGTAAGCTCCACGGCTTCCCGTTTAATGAACACTTTTCAGTCCTAATTATAGACGGTCTCCTCGCAGCACACAGCATGGCTGATCTCTTGGCTTCTCGACCCCTCCCACGTCTTTTGATTATTTTCCATCTCTTTGGTTGGCATCTTTCCGTCTACCTGTTCCTCAGCCATGAGTGCCGTCCCTGTCCTTCCCGGATCACTTTTCATTATGTCCTTAGGAGCCCTCACCACTCCCATGGCTCTGTTTTGGAGATTCTTAAATCATGATTTAGTTTTACTCTTTCCACCTCGATCAACATGTTCAAAACTGAACTCATCCTCCCTTCCTATATCCCTTCAAACTTTTCTGTTTCCTTTCTCAGAGAATGGTATCACCGGCTACCAAGTGACCAAAGTCCCAGGAGTCCTGTTTGATTCTTCCTAATTCAGAGTCCACATCCAATTAGTCTTCCAGACCGACTTTTGTACTTCCTTAATATCTCCATCCCTCCTGTTACTACCTTGGTTTAAACCCTCATAATTTCTCACTTGAATTACTGGGCCAGTCTTCTAAAGGGTCTCTGCCTCTAATTCTCCATATTCTATTACAATGCTTCGTACAAATTCCACATTTGAGCATATCATTCACTTGTTTAATATCCTTTGATGGTTCCTCTGTGCCTTCAGGATAAAATTTACACTCCTGAGGAACTTCATAAATTAGCTCCTACTTCCCGTTCTAACATCACCTGAGCAGCATCTCCCATCATGCCCAGTTGCTGTGCCTTCACTGTGTTCTTCGCTGTGTTCTGCCTCTGCACCTGACTTCCAGTTCCCTGAATTAGCCACGCGCTCTCTCATTTCAGTGCCACTTCTCACTGTTCCTTCTACCTAGAATACCTTTTCGACTCCTTCCTCTGCTCCTTCTCCCAGCTCTTTGTCAAATTCATCTATCCTCTAAGATTCCGTATTTGCATCTTCTCCTACGGAGAGTTTCTAGGCTAGGCTAGGTTGGTGATTTTTCTCTGAGTCCAAAGTTACTGCCATCACTACATTTGTTATACAGAATTGTGACAACCTATTTAGAAATGTCATCTTTCCCCTGAGCTCCGGAAATTGTAATAGTCTCTTGTCCTTAGCCTTATCACAGTTCCCGGAACACATTGAAGGAATAACATGTTGAATGCAAGAACAGATTTAACACACCACATTGATCTGAATGAGGGCTGCTGAACAGGAAGAAGGGAAGGATTTGAAGTTATTAAAAATAACTGTATAATTTTAGGGCACAGTGTTCTGATAGAGAAGCAACCATACCAAAGAGGAGCTGACAAACTGCAGAAGACTGTCTCACAGTCCTGGTCACTAGGTAAACTACTGTCATAGCTGGAGTCTTGCCACTAGAACACACTTCCCATTCACAAACCCCGGGGACCCTCAGAAATGGGACTCCCTGCTGATGATAATGAGGAATTTGCATGAAAATGAAGCAGAGTAATTAGAAGAACAGCCACCTGTGTTCTGGCGAACTCCTCCTGGGAGGAAGGTCTGGAAGTAGTTTGGGATGCAGAGCGGAAAGAGAATGAGTTTGAGAGATGAAGAATATAGATTATGTATAATGGTTTAAACTGAGCCTGCATGCTTGGGAGCTCCTTGGGTTCTACAGGCCTGCTGAAGCTACTTGGATAATGGTCAGGGTGGTTCATTAATGTACCCGGACCCAGGCTGCCTCAGCAGGCCCTCCGGCAGCCATCACTGCATCAAAGACGTGTGAGAGGAACAGCATGAGTCAGTCCACAGAATGAAGAGGACAGATATTCGCTGTTTTCATATTGCTCTTTGACAGTGGTCAAAATTCCATTGATTTGAGTGGCAAGACCCATGTTTATCCTTCAAGAATCCAATTATTTCTCTCAGGGGCAATAGATCATTTGTGAAGCCTCTGAAATGCTGGCTGTGAGGATATGCCTCAGCCCCCCACCCTGTCTAGCACCGGAGCATAGATGTTATGAGAAACTTACGAAGCTCTGGGATTCTCGGCTCTACACCCCAAAGAGATTTAGTTCTGGTCAAAAGAAAACCCCTTCTAATTCAGGTGGCCCTTCCCAGACCACTCTGAAGTCGTGTGTCCAGGAGCAAGGATGCTGGGCGGGAATCGCTGCTTTCCATATCCAGTGTCCCTTGGGCTTCAATTTGTCTCACATTCTGGGGAAACAGAATTGTATCTTCCATGCCTCCCAGAACTGTAATATACTTTGAGTGAGTTCCAGATGTCTTAAGAGATGCCAGATGGCTCACGAGAGGCAGACCAGCTTTAAGGAAAATGTGTCCCATTTCCTTGGATAAGAACCACAAATTTAAGCTTTCAGGGCCAGCTGTGGAGGGGTGGAGAAGTTCAAGGCCTGCTCTGCTAGCCCCTGCTCAGATATCACACAGTGTGCTAAGTGCCTTCACATACTTATCTTGTTTAACAACAGACAGGAGGCAGCTATTTGGAACCCAGTTTTTCCAGATGAAAAATCTGAGACTCAAAGAGTTTAAGCAAATTCCCTTTGATTTTCAAGTCATTTATGTTGTATTCTATGCGTGTCATCTGAGAACATCAGAGCTTCACTGATGGTGTAATGCAGTTTCTAATGACAAAGAATTGGTGCTGCTTACTCTGTTCCTACTGGTCTACTCCTGAACATAAAAAGCCTATTTAGAATGTGTGGCATCGCCTGTAGTGTTCTCTCTCTCTTTCTAGTAAAACATGCTTGCCTGTGTAATACACACACACACACACACACACACACACAATCATGAGCTTTGCCTTCTGCATGCTTAGTTGACTATATAAATAAAAACACAGAGAAAGCTGCTTCTGTGGCAGAATAAGATCCCACTTTCAGCATATTGTATCCTTGCTTCCTTAGTAAATATCCCGTGTTCTTTTAAATTCTCTGACTCTGAATTCTAACCCTATTTACCACATGAAAGGTATTTTTCAGTCTTTCCAATGGGACTCACACCTGTCCCCCCTCTGCACTCCCGCCACCGTAATTTTAAATTCCTTCTACTCCTCTGAAATTCTGACTTTGTGTCCTCAGCTCAACGGGATCTTGCAGATATCTTCTGCCCAATGGAGCTCCGAATCGAGCTCTTCATTTCCAGCTTGTGTCTGGGCTTTGAATCCTGCCTCTGCCACTTGCTAGCTGAGGCCCTTGGGTGACTCAACGGGCCTCTCTGAGGCTCAGTTTTTAAAGTGTATAAAATGGCAATTATAACCACTGCTTAGATTTTGTAGTCATCTTGTAAGTGTTAGATGAGATGATGTAAGTAAAGCATTTAGCACAGTACTTGGCGCTTCGTGAGAACTCAGGAAAGCTTGGGGTGACAAGGTGCTGTTGATGGAACTGCAGTGTTCGTGGTACTTATTTTGCCTGTATCCTAGGTAGCCTCATGACTGGAGTTTATGGTTCTGGGTTTCTCCCATGAAACACATCTGCACTGTTAATTAATGCTCCAAAAAGAGCTCACTCATCTCCATCAGAAATAAACCACACCCGTCCCTGCAATGCGATGTTCCTAAGGAATGGGATGCGCAGGCTGACCTCATGGACGCTGGTGGAGGGTGTGACAGATGAACATTGGGCCTTGGCAAGACACTTGTTTTCCACTGTGAAATATTATTTGGGTACTGTCACATTTCTATATCGTTAACATAAAACACAGCTTAATATAAGTAACCCCTGGACCAACGCGGCACATTTCACAATTCCTTGCCTATTTTATTTCTCTCCTTTCTGGCGTAGAGAACAAAAAACTGTGTCATATAATCTACATGCAGAACACAGATCATAACTGCCTTCTTACGCAGATCCAATGCTCCGGGGTGAACTTTTAGGTATAAACAAATCTGGACTCTAATGCTGGTTACCTTGGGTGGGGGCAGGAAGCCTGAGAACGCGCGGTCTTCTTTTTGAAAACTCAGATTGAGCCTCTCCAGGTTGAGCCTGCCGTTGGTTGCCCTCAGTGCCATCTTTAAGATCTCCACCAGGCTCCGGTTCACTTCTGACTGCGCGTGCGCATCTCGAGGGGCAGTACTGCTTGGAGGGGCAGGGGAAAGTCTGAAAACATATTCGCGCAAAGCCACTGTGTGTTTTCATACTATCTCTCACCTGTGTCACACACGGGGGAGCCAAAGACCCACCTTCCAAATCTGGGTAACCTGGTAGTGGGACTGCATGTGGTGATTTCACAGCTTAACTCAAATATGTTCCATTCTAGTGAGCATTACAGTCCCTTCTCCTGGAGGAACCAAGCAATTCCACTAGAATATGGATCAAATTCTCTCTTTTTGCCCGATTGAGAGAAAAAAATGAGAAATGTCCATAGTAGTTTACTTTAGCAGCTTGATATTACTTTTTTTTAAAGCCCAGAAAATAAAATTTCCAAACTATACATTGCCACGAGCAAAAGCAAAGCAGATCCTGGTAGATCCCTGTAACCAGGGAACCTGTATAGGAGGAAACCTTGAACCAGGTGAATTATCCTGGATTCTGCTATTTGTAACTAGAAAACCCAGGAAAGTTTGGGAGTAATTATGTATTTACCAGATGGCATGCAGATGGTTTATCAAACTGATTTAAAAAAAAATGTTTCCACTAATGTTTTGAGAGAGAGAGGAAAGGAGTGTAGAGAGAGAGAAACATCTATGAAAGAGAAACATCGATCGGCTGCCTCCTGCAAGCCCCTTACTGGGATCGAGCCTGCAACCCCGGCATGTGCCCTGACTGGGAATTGAATTCACGACATCTTGGTGCACAGGACTATGCTCAAAATGACTTCTGTTATTTTACAGAACAGATGAAAAACACCAGAGTGATAAAGTATCAGAGTCATTTATTTTTTGAAACTGGTTTGAGCTGTTTACTTTTTTAACATTCAGAAGTATGTGTCCTTCCAGATTTGGCCAAGCTACTTTCTTCACAGTGAAGCTTTTCCTAATTTCCATGTTCTCAGCTTAAGTGCCACTCTCCTAGAGGGACAATTTCTGACACCCCCCCAACCCCTATTCGTGTAAATTACTTTACATTCGGTGGTGTGCTGGCAAATCTTTACCAACCAGCTCTTCGAGATAAAGCCCTAATTTGGAGCATGACTGGTTTTCATGGTGTGGACACTCCCACGTGGCTGATTTCAAGCTACCAATACGATGTCACTGAATGAGGAGCTGGGAACTGATACACACAATAGACCCTCAAGATGCTCCAGCACCCCTTGCTTGAAACACTCTTTTATAGTTCCTTGTTCTTGTCCTTGCTAAGTCTCCCTCAAGTTATAGTCTCATTTTTATTTTTTTAGTCAGCGTTTCATGTCTGATTTCCCTAGTAGATTGCTCCGTGGGATGTGGGCGGAGTCTCTTTGCTTCTCACTATTTCTAGGAGATGCTGGGCAGGACCTGCAATGGATTATTTTTAGATGGATTTAACTCTCCTAAAGGTCACATTGTATCTTCTTCTTGCTCTGTTACTCTTGGACTTTGACACTGAACTATGCCATTTGGAATTCTTTAATAATAGCTAATATTTTCCAAAAGTTTGGTACAGGCAAGGAGAAGTAGCTGATTGTCTTCGTGTTGGTCACCTAGCTCTGCACCCCATTTCCCTTGTTCAGGGAGTTCCCCAGCTCAGGAGTCTGCCTGTCACTCTAAGAGAGGGAAATGCCAACTGTTTGCTTTACCAGCCTCTCTCTGCTGCTTAAGGCACATGACTCAGGCCTGGCCAATCAGATGTATCTATCTTTCCCAGATTTGAATCAGAGTTTTTCTACTTTTCTTTTCTTGCAATGCCAGTTTCTGGGAGTAGGAAGTCATGAGGCTCTGGCCTCCCTCTGCACATTGGGTACTGAATGGGCAAGTGTTGAATGGAACCCATTTACTGCAGCTGGTGGGGTGTCTTAGGAAACCTACTGCAGGAGTTTTCATCTGGTCCAGTGTAGGTGATAAGTTATTTCTACTCCTGTTCTCATGAGTGATGCTGGAGGCTTTTAAAACATCACAGAGCTTCCTCATTCAAGGCTCTACCTGACAGAACACAAGAGGGCATTTTCCTGAGCAGCACATTAACTAACACAGAGCCTGGGTTCATTCAGGCCATTAGTTCTCCACTTCTACACACACACTGTCTGGTTTGTGTAAAGCAGCACCTTCTGTGATGAGTTCAAAATGATCTCTCTATACACCATTTTTATAGGGTAGATATCTAGATGTCCCTATACGTGAAGTGGTCCAAGATTTTTGGATAATGGGAGGTGCCAGTTACAGTCAACAAGTATTTATTTGGCATCTCCCATGTACCAAGAAGTATGCTAGAACTGTGCTAGACACTGAGTTGGCCAGGACACACTCCATTCCTAACCTCAAATGTCAACCAAGTAGGTACAAATGCAATGTCTGTTATGAAGGGAAACGTCTATGGGACCATGTAGTAACGAGACATAATCTAGTCTAGGGCTCGGGAGAGGCTTCCTGTCTAGGACTCATAAAATCCATATCTGCCTATGAGTGGCCATGTTTTCGGGTACATTGTCTATTACCTTTCAGGGCCAAAATCTCACAATCTGTATTATATGAAGTGTGGTTGCTGATTATTAAAAGTTTATAGGGCTTCGTGGCTCTCAGTAGGTCATTTTCTCCCAGAGTGGTATTTGTTTGGACGGTGAGACTTTGATGGAGTGACTGGGCCTTGCCAGCCTCTGGATCTCTCGTGCCCAGCAAAGTGTGAAGTTGGTACCCAATGAATGTTTGTTGAATGAAGTATTAGAGTCAAAAGGGCAGAGTGTGGAGGGGAATTAACTCTAACACTTGGCCCAGGGACATTTGTACAGAAAACCCTACCTTTTTCTTACAGTAAAGAAGTGAATTCCTATCCCGTGGCTCTTAGTCCTTATGTCACATTATTTGTAATTGAAAAGAGTCTTCTGCAAGGAGAGTTGAAAAATGGAAACAAACACTTATATAGCACTTACTGTGTGCCAGGACTGTCTGTAAGAGCTTTGCATTAATTGACTCAGTCACTGTTGCACATCTCTGAAGTTAAATGGAGTCTATGACTATTCTCATTTCGCAGTTGGAGAACGGTAGTGCAGGGAGGGTTCGTGACTAGCCCGAGGTTCCAGGGCCGCAGACTGACAGATTGAGCCCGGGGTTCTGGCAATGGGCTTATGCTCCTAACACTGCCCTTCGTCATTTTTCTTGGAGAACGCAGAGCCTATCGTGCTTGACTGTGCATCTCTAATGACAGTCTCACATCCAATTTTTACTTTTAATCATTTCTTTCCCTTGAGATTATATGAAGGGATTATTGATTTCTGTACCTTAAACTTGTCTGTACTAGTACCTGTAGCCGGGAGTTCACTGAGTGAACATATTTCTGGAATCATACTCCAGATGATTTCTGCACCAGGACACAATCATTTCTTTCATTCTATTCTATTCTATTCTATTCTATTCTATTCTATTCTATTCTATTCTATTCTATTCTATTCATCTCCTCACTGTAGGATATGTTTTTATTAATTTCTAGAGACAGAGGAAGGTAGAGAGAAGAACTGATTTGAGAGAGATACATTGATTAGTTGCCTCCTGTACATGTGCTGGCTGGGATCAAACGCACAACCTAGGTATGTACCCTGACCAGGGATTAAACCCACACCCTATTGGTGTATGGGATGATGCTCTAATCAACTAAGGCACCCAGCCAGAGCCATAATAATTTCTTATTTCATAAGGGGCTTTTCATTTTTACACAGCAACCTCATAAACACATACTCTTGATGTTAGGAAACATCGAGTGTTGCAGATGATTTCCTGTGCTGACCTGTGCACAGCGCAGAGAGAGAAAACCGTAACCATAGCTGAGTGTTGGTGAACGGCAGTGTTTCTGCATCAGGTGAGCTTTCGGAGGGAGTGGCCCCCAGGAGCCCCGCCAGCTCCAGCCTGGGAATAACACGCCCACAGAAAGGGAGACAGTACCTTTCGCTGTGATGGTTCCCACCCTGAGCTTCCTCCGGGCTGCTGTCCACAGCTCTTCTGCTTTGCTGTGGATCATCTGAAGCTGCCACTTTTAAAAAACAGAGAAGCTTTTCATAGTTCACCTTAAAATTAAATAGAAGACAGGACATCCTCATTTAATTTACACGTACGGAAAAGAGACCTGCTGAAATAAAACGTGTTTGAAGTCTTTTACCATGAAAAGTGTTCAAAGCAGCTTTAAAAATATAATAAAAATTACTGCTCTTTTACCAAATATCCCTATTTTTCTCCCTCCTGCACAGATGGTGAAATTGTACTTCCTGGTTGCCCTGCAATTGGGTGGGGCCACGTGACCAGTTCTGGCCAATGAGTTATAAGCAGAAGGGACAGGGCTACTTCTGGCTCGAGGATTAGTCTACTGACACGAGACCTTCCAGAGCTCTCTTTTCTCCCTCTGCCGTACGTATGTCCCCGAATATTCCAGAATGTCTGCTTCATCAGCCTGGGTTTTATTTATTTATTTATTTATTTTTAAACATTTTTTTTTTTTATCCTCACCTGAGGACATTTTTCCATTTTTTGTACAGATAGAGTGGGAGGGAGAGAGAGGAAGAGAGAGAGAGAAACATCGATGCGAAAGGGACACATCGAGTGGCTGCCACCCACACGACCAACCAGGGCCAGGGACAAACTGCAACCGAGGTACATGCCCTTAGTGGGAACCGAACCCGGGTCTCTCTGGACCGCAGGTGGACGCTCTAACAGCTGAGCCAAACTGGCCAGGGCATCAGCCTGGGTTTTAGAGCAAGATCATGACAGTACTGAGGAGAGCCTGTGGATAACTCATTACAGAAATGTAACGTGAACGAAAAATAAGCTTTTGTTGTTTTAAGCAACTGAGATTTGGGGACTATTTGTTACTATTTGTAACCTAGCCTCCAGCCTCTCTCTTTCTCTCTCTTTTATATATGTATTATATAAATCATATGCTTATATGATATATTCAGCAGATATGTTCAGATTATTTGAGGATAAGGCCATAATTTCTTAGCTAAGTGAAAAATTTTCAAAGCCTTTTTTTTTTTTTTTTACATAGGTGAAGGACTGAAGGAATGTTATCCATTTCCAGTGCCGGGCTGGATGGCATCCTAGGGACTGTGGTGGGCAGACAGGTCCAGGGCAGTGGAGGCATTGGGGGTGGGGGGAGGACCTAGATAGGGTCCTTGATATAAACTAGGTTTCAGACCAGTAAATTTGATTGAACTAAAGATTCATGGAGGTTGTACTAATAAGTTGACATTGTATTGCTAAATACTTCTCATAAGTATACCACTAATTTCATTTTTGCAGGTTAAGGATGGGCAGGAGAGAGATCTTTCCTTTGTGTACCTACAAATTGCTAAGTGTGATACCAGGTAATTTATTATATTACTAAATCCCCAGACTATCCCTATGAGGTTGGTTTTGGCCTGGTTTTCTATCAACACATACTCACTAATGATGTTCTCATTGCTCTTACTTCTTCTTATGTTAGGGCATTTATCTCTCGTCCCCTGAATGTGGTGACACTGGACCCTGTTTTGTATACTCTTTCAAGTGTGAGGTTGGGCAGTGCAAGCAGAGAAGGAACCCTGCCCTTACACTGGGAAACCTTTATGTTAGCCCTAGTCTGCCATTAATTCTCTGGGTGCCCTGAGCAAGTTCCTTATCCCCTCTGGGTCTCAGTTTCCTAATCAGCAAATTGATGGTGAATTATATTTCAAAGACACCTCCCACTGCCGGACGTCTTAGTCATTTTCTCCATTCTTACCTGGGCGTTTACAGACTGTATGCAAACTGACTTAAGTGCACCCATGATCTTGAATCTATAACTATCCCAATAGTGTTAGAAGTAGACAATGAAAGTTGGGATCGGGAAGCCCTTTAAAGAAAATTAAACAGGAAATTAAACAGGACTAAGAGACCTAAATCTGTTTTCTATTCTGGCCTCGTCTGACTAGAGATTTCCACATATGAATATAAATAAGCTTTGTATCTTACAGGTCAGTAGTAAAGGTTGTTTTTCAAGAAAGAAACTAGCCTTTTAATTCTTTTACTCTGATGGGTTCAAGTAAAACACATGAAAGGAATTCTCACTCCAGACTGTGAGGTGGCCATACCAGTTCGAGAGAGCCACTCCTGCAAAACCTCTGGCAGAGGATCTGGACTGTTGGTAACTGCAGAGGGACTTCATGCTTCAGGAGCAGGCGGCTCAGCTGAGGCTGAAGAAGGAATCCAGAAGAGACAGGATCCAGGATTTTCAGCTCTTTTTGCAGCTTGTCTAATAGGCCAGACCTCAAAGGGTGGGACTTGAGTTCTCTTCTGACCAGGGCAAGAAGAAAAGTGTCTTCCTTTGTCATTCCACTTGGCCTCTGGCCGATATCCTGAATCAACAACAACAACCATGAACAGGACTCTGAAACAAAGTGGCTAATGGCCCATGCCAGGAAGCAGAAGCCTAGTAGGGCTGGTGTCCCAGCATCCACTTTCAGGCCTAGTCTAGAACAGGACGACTTAGTAATACTTGGAGGTTAGTGTTCCACCTGCCTGTATTGATTAATTTACAGTGCCTCAGGACCTTCTCATTCAGAGTAAAAGCAAATCACTTCAGAGTACATACTCTGTTAGAAGGCTCCTTAAAGTATATCATCTGTCTTTTACAAAATAACTTTGTGATTATATGAAGATTTGGACTAGCATATCTTAGAAACCCACTGGATTTGGGAGGAGGAGGGTGGAAGGTGAGAGGTTCAGCTGGGGCATTTGTGAACTCCCCAGAAAAGCTTCCTGAAAAGCCAATTAGACACGTGGGGTCTGGTGTCCACCAGTCCATCCTCCATCTTCTTCTCTGTTCCACATCCGAATATACAGTCAGCAAATAATACTCCTTCAACCACAATAGAAACCAACTCACCAACTCTCAATATACACACCTCAGGCTGGTGAGAGCCTCCCCTTGCCATCTGCTCCAAGGGCCAGTCTCGACGTTTTCTCCTGGGGAGGCCATGGATATAGGACAGGGACTGGTCTCCAGTCGGTACAGAGCTGCAGTAAACATTTGCCTGCTTGGGATTTTAAGGAAACAAAGAAATGGTAGTAAAATCTCAGAAGGGGAGAGGGGAAGAGAAAGAGCAAAGAAGAGAGAATGTAAGTGAGCCAACTGATTCCTTAAAACATATTCCCAGTTCCAAATGACTTTAGCCCATGTGGTCATTGGCTCATTGAGTCCCCAAAGAAGAAAGTTTGCCTCAACATCAATTTCAGCCTTATATGACTAACAAGTGTTTGACAAATACACTAACAATTAGATACTGTTTCATTTGTGTAAGAAGGATGTCTGCACAAAGAAAAATTAGGTAGAACATAAGGTATTTATAGGCAAATTAGGGTTCTTATTACAGATAAAGGTAGCCTTAGGCTCTTTTAATTAGCAGATTCAGGAAGGTCAGCAAAGGCCATTGAGAGCTTTGTCAGGAATGGACTAGAAGAGATTAAAAGCCCAGACTATTACATCCCAAGAGTGATGTTATTAAAGGTTACAGTAGAATAAATGATGGAACAAGGGTCAATGATAAAATCCCATTCCCTGTTGCTGTGGAGTATGGTGTATTCATCATGTTTTTTATTTTCTGTATTTTATGATAGTTTACATCTTGGAGGGCCTGGGCGGCTGGAGGAGACTGCCCCCCCAGGCCTAACAATTCCCAGAGGCAGGAAACAACTGTCTGCTGACACAGGGCTCCTACCAGACCTACCTGGCCCGAGTCCATGTCCCCACCCACCTCCTTCATCTAACCTCACACCCAAAGCCAGTAGTACTTCCCCTGCCTGAAATCAACCCAAGTCCAGATACTAGGCAACTAGGGACCTATACCCAAGTCCCCTGGGATTATTTTAGTTAGCTAGTCCTAATCTGTTAACCCGGCCTTACCTTTCTTTGGAAACGCCAGTAAAGGCTGTGGCCTGTGCTGTCCCCTCACTCCTGCCTCCTGGTGGACCTGTGGCTTCCCTGTGTGGCCCTGAGTGGTGTGGTATGCCCCCTTTGAGGAAAAGGTAAAAAATAAACTCTTCTTTCTAAGGCAGTTGTCTCTCACCTTGCCATACCTGCTTAAAATAAAATCGCAGGTACAAATCAAGGTGCGTGGCTATTTTTAATATCAGGTAACTGAAAGGAGACGTTATCAGAAGGACTCACTGAAAACGGAGTGTCTGAATAACCTATCAGCATGGATGGCAACCTACAGATGCATTATTGTCAAGAAGCAGTTCAAAGAGAAGTCCAGAGGCTCTCTAGAGTGGGCAGAGTGAGCAGGAGTGGCAGAGAGTTCTAGAACGGGCAGAAAGGAAAACATTTCTTGGGCACACACTCTGTACAGGCACCGAGGGGTGCTTTGTGTATGTCATTCAATTTAATCCTTACTACAACCCTATGAGGTAGATACCATAGCTCCCGTTTATACTTGGAAAGCTGAGGTTTGCAGAAATGAAGTAACTTTATTCCTTCACTTAGGAAATATTGATGGCGTGCCTCGTCTGGGCCAGGCACTGTGAGAGGCCCTGAGGGGCATGAACAGGTGTGGCCCCTGCCCTCCCAGAGCTGCGGTCATGAGAGGCTCGGGGGCAACCGGGACAGCAACACACGGCGCGAGGGCCCCGTCAGGGCAGTCCTCGGGCCACCTAGCCTGGCCAGGCCTGGACGCGATGACTCTTGAGTCTAGGCTTGAAAGGGGAGTTAGATGTAGATCTGAACAGGCTGAGTGGGGAGGAAGGGGAAGGAGGAGGAGCACAGGGAAAGGGAAACGGAACATTGGAAATTGCATAGGCGCGCACAAGCGCTTCCCAGAGAGAGGGATTGCGGAGCGCAGGGCAAGTCACAAAGGTCCAGGGTTGGCTCCCCAGGAAAGCGTGCAGAGAAGACTCGAGCCCTGCCCTTCGCCACTGCCTTAGGGAGGTTCCACATCCAGTCCGCAGGGCAGTGTCGTTCTGTAAAATAGTTGCATCGGTATTTCCGACGTACTGGTCCAAGAGCACGTGTCTTTGAAAATTACTTGTAATATAAAATGTTTTGATTTTCAGCCACATCGATTTTTCCGTCTGAGAATTCAATGCACTTCTACATTTCAGTATCCTAAAGAAATATTTATCAATACTTCACCATTCCAGCGGGGTCAAGGTGTTCTTTAGCCCCCTTTCCTCTCACTTAAACACCGAAATTTATTACCTTTATTTTCAGCACTTTATTCAGGTGAACAAGGCAGGTGTAATTCTTGCCCTCAAAACCTTTTCGCCTGGACAGCATCGACTGAATTTTATGACCTCTTCTATGAGAGGGGAAATATATATATTTTCCCTCAGGACTGGTATGAAGAATGTGTTGTATTTTAAATATTCTGTAAATTTTAAAATTACACATTTATTTGTTATTTTGTGTACTGTGTCCCCCTCCATTAGACTGTAAACTCTGTGTGGGCCAAGACTGTCTTATGTTTTGCTGACTCCCAGCAAAAAAGCATCAAATTCGAAGAACAAACAGAGAAACACAATGTCAGAATGTTGATGAGTTCAGGCCAAGTGCACGCAGTGTTTCAGATTTGTCCCTTCACTGATATAAATCATCCTGGCCGTCATTTTTCAAAAGCAAAGCATGTTCCCATAGTGTCAATGAAAATAAAATGGGAAATTCTCATCAGGAATCATGTTTTTGACTTCAGGAATTGCCGGAGTACCTATAAAATCTCTGATGCTACAGGTTTCTCTCATTTGCTTTGCTTTGAATCACAAAATACTGCCTGGGGATGACACTATAGCCTGAAATGACTCCTGAGCAATGCTGCTTTTATGATGTTTCCCTAAAAGAACTGGTACAAATGAAGCATGAAAATGTAACACAGATTCAGTAACTCTTCTTGGGGTGTTGGAACTTGCAAGCGTTGGAAGTGTAAACACGTTTGTGTGGTGTGTGTGTGTATGTTTTTTTAAAGACTGCTTATAAATAAAACTATTTAAAAATAGTTATAGTGTAGAAGTCATGAAAATTTGCAGAGACGACATCAAATGCATATTTCAAATGTCCTATTGCTTTTACAATGAATATTATTCCATTGTAAACATATGCATTTTGTTTTTCCATTCATCTGTGGATGGACATTTGGGTTGCTTCCTCATTCTAGTTACTGTGAATAATGCTGCTATGAACATAGTTGTACAAATGTCTCCTTGAAATCCTTCTTTCAATTCTTTTGACTCTATACCCAGAAGTGGAATAGTGGTATCATATGGTAGTTCTATTTTTAATTTTGAGAAACTACCAAACTGTTTTCCACAATGGCTATAACCATTTTACATTCCTGCCAACAGATTTTCTTCACACCCTCGCTAACATTTGTTATTTCTGTTTTTTAGTTTGTTTTCTTCTTTTTGATAATAACTCTGTTCTAATGGGCATAAGGGGTTATCTCATTATAGTTTTGAGTAACATTTTCCTAATGATTAATTATGTTGAATATCTTTTCACATGCTTATTAGCCATTTGTTTATCTTCTTTGGAGAAATGTCTATGCAAGTCCTTTGCTCGTATTTTAATACAGTTGTTTGTTTTCTTGGTGTTGAGTTTTTGGAGTTCTCTGTATATTCTGGATATTAATCTCTTATTGGATATATGATTTCCTACCATTCTGTAGGGGGCTTTTCCCCTCTGGTGATAATGTCTTTTAATGCACAATGTTTAAAAAGTTTTATAAAGTCCGGCTGGTGTGGCCCAGTGGATTGTGCATCATCCCATGGACTGAGAGGTCCCGGTTTGATTCCTGGTCAGGGCACATGTCTGGATTGTGGGCTCGATCCCCAGTAGGGGGCATGCAGGAGGCAGCTGATCAATGTTTCTCTCTTGCATCAATATTTCTATCTCTGAAAAAAAAAAAAATCAATGAAAACACATTTTAAAAAAGTTTTATAAAATCCAATTTGTCAATTTTGTATTTTGGTTCCTGTGCTTTTGGAGTCACATCTAATAAATCATTGCCAGACCCAATGTAAAGATTTTGCCTTATTTTTTCTTCAGAGAGTTTTATAGTTTTAGATCTTATATTTAAGTCATGGATCCATTTTGAGTTAATTTTTGTACATGGTGTTAGGTAAGGGTCTAACTGCATACTTTCACATGTCGCCATTCAGTTTTCCCAGTACTATTTGCTGAAATGACCATCTTTTCGTCTTTGAATCATCTTGGTACCCTCATAAAAAAATCATTTGGCCATTTATGGAGGATTGAATTTTGGACTCCCTATTCTGTCCCATTGGTCTATATGTCTGTCTTTATGCCAGTACCATACTGTTTTGGTGATTGTACCTTTATAGTTAGTTTTGAAATCAGAAAGTATAAGTTCTCCAACTTTGTTCTTCTTTTTCAGGATTGTTTAGGATCTTCAGTGATCCTTGAAGTTCCATATGAATTTTAGGATGGATTCTTATATTTTTGCCAAAAAGTTATTGGATTTTGATAGAGATTGATGACGTTAACTTTTTCCTCTACAAGAACACAGCATGCCTTTCCATTATTCAAATATACTCTTGTGTCTTTCAAGAGTGTTTTATATTTTTTTCTCATAAAGGTTTGGACATTTCTTAAGTTTATGTCTTGGCGTTTTATTTATTTAGTCAATTTAGTTATTCATTTATTTGTTGTTATAAATGGTGTCCTGCATTTTATCTTCTAGCCAGTTTTTGTTTATATATATGAAGTCCATTGATGTGTGTATATTGATGTTATAACTCTGTTTTGTCAAATTATCTTGCTGTTTTAGTAGTTTCTTCATTAGCTATTTTGAGATTTTATGTGTATAAACTTATCTGAAAACAGTTTTTCTCTTCTAATTATGCTTGTAATTGCTTTCTCTTGTTTAAGTACATTGGCTAATATCTCCAAAATAATATTAAGATCCAGTGGAAATATTACGTTCATTCACTTCTTCCAGACTCTGATGTGAAAGCCTCTAGCATTTCTCCATTAAGAAGGTGTTGGCTTTGGATTACTACATAGACAGAGAGTTTTGGAAACAACAATAAACAAGTCAAAATGTTATTCTCAGGGGATTTACAGACTCATCAAAAAAGATGGACAAGTAAACAACTATTTTAATAGTATGATGATATCACTGTAGGGTTATGCACAGACTGATTTAGAAGTACATTAGGACAGGCACATACCTCAGTCTTGGTGATCAGACAGTGATGCTTCTTGATAGAGCTGATATCTAAGTCAAGATCCCAGTGTAATTAGGGTTAAATAAAGACAGAGGGAAGAGAATTTCACACAAAAGGAATAGTATGAGGAAAATATAGGAGATAAAAGAAAACAGAATTCTATTTGGGAAACCAAAGTTCGGTTTAATGAAAGGTAGGGATGGGAGAGAAGTAGAGAGTAGACAAAGTTGAGTTAAAATGGTAAGTCAAGGAGTTTGAATTTTATACTAAAAAAGTGAGAATTAAGCTGGTTTTAAATGTTTTAAGTAGGGGTTATACTTCATCTGTGGTTTTGAAGTGGCTCCTAAAAGAGGTTTTATATATTTATATTTATACTTTATATTTATATTCTTGCCCCATTAGTGTTATGCTTTGCCATGTGGCTTGCTTTGGCCAATGGGAGATTAGTGGATATGACACAAGCAAAGACTTAAAATGTACTTGTGGTTGAGTTTTTCCACTTGAAATGTTTCCACTACCATGAGAAGAACTTGCCTTGAAGAGCCTACTACTTCATACTACTAAGGAAACAGAACAGACCTGAACCAACTTTGTGGTCTAGAGCCAAGCCTAGGATGTCCAAGGGAAATAAGTAAATGCTGTGTTAGCTCACATCTGCAGACGTGAGCATAAATTATTATAATTATAAACCACGGAGTGTTGGGGTAATCTGTTACACAGAAGTATTATAACAGCTGACCAATACAGTGAGGGAAGCACAGAAAAGGAAAGCCGATTTGAAGATAGTTAAAGTCTCCCTGCTGAGGTTTAGCAGTGGTCCGACTAGGATGATGGCAGAGGAAACATAAGCAAGAGGACGGTTATGAGAGACATAAGGAGGTAGAATTTAAAGGGCTCAGTGATTAGCTAGATATCAGAGTTGGGGGGAGAGAGGAGGAAAGCATGCCCAGATTTCCTGCTGGTGCAACTGGGAGAGCTGGGAGACCGTTCTGTGAGAAAGACCACAACAAGAAGGTTCTGCTCTGAACATGTGGAGTCTGAGCCGCCAATGCACAACTAAGTGGACATGTCCTTGACATTGACCTCTATTCATCTGTTAAATGAGAATATTGCCCTGTGCCTCTACCTACCTCACAGGGCTATTGTACAGAACAGGCAAGATAAAACACACACAAGGGGTTTGAAAAAAAAGCACACCGCCAATCAGCTGTGATAATTATTAAAATGAAAGACTAACACTTTCATTTACTTGCTGCCAGATACAAAAAGCACACTCTAATTTTATTTTTGAAACGTGCTACTGAGTTTGTTGCTAGTCACACATTCTTTTTTATTTTCTGCGAGAAGGCAGAGCTGATGATTCTGAGAAATAATGTAAACATATACATTTTCACAGACACACAAGGAGCAGAATTTGGAGACAGACAGATCCTAGGATTGGTGGTGAGAAGAGCCAGGCTCTTCACTGGTGAGACCTTGAACTAATCATGACGCTCTCCAGGCCTCACATTCTTCATTCGTGAAATGAAGGTTTGTCCTCGTTGATCTCTGAGAGATTTTCCTGTTCTCACATACATGAAATGATGGATTCACTTAACATTTTCTGCTTTCCCGACTTCCTTTTAATGATACTCTCTAAAGTGGATCTGTAATTTAGAAAAGAGTTTCACACTTGCCCATCCTCACCCACGTTATCTCTGTCTTTATCAGCAACTTCTCTTTTGGAGCAGATTCAGCCCGTCCAGATTGCCTGCTACATACCACGCAGGAAAGCTTATTTTCATCTAGGTGTGAGCGATGAGGATCTAGAAGGGGTTCGGATTGGTTTGTTTTTTTCACTGAGGCACGATTCCATCTACCACTTGTCAAGGCGGTAATGAGGGTCTCTGTACCAGGCAACTGTGGCTGCCATCTGGCGGGCCAGCGCCACACACTCGGCAGACAGAACCAATTAGGCCCACACCTCCCACGAGGCCTTGCTGTGTTTGGTGGCTGAGTGTTAGCCCCACTGAGCCTCCCATGAGAAACCTTGTTGAGTTTTTCTTTTGTGTGTGTGTGTGTGGGGGGGGGCACCTCATCTCCCTTTGGCAAGAACTAGCAAAGAGTCCAGATTATGGAGGTCCCCGAACAGGCTACCCAATGAACACGCTGCCCATTATAATGGTGGATGCAGAGTCTGTTTCAGGAATGGGCAGCTCAGTGGGGGAGGGGTGTGTCAGGAAGGAACTTCCCATTTATAAGAAAAAAACTAGAAATGAGTTAAATGCCAATAATAAGGAATTAGTTAAATGAGCCATGATCTATCCCTAGTATAAAGCAATGAATACAGTTTGGTGATTAAGGACCTAGGACCTGGGCTTCAACTGTGGCTCAGCCACTTCTCAGTCTCATCATCTGGAAGGCACCTGAGCTCTCTGTTGCTCAGTTCCTTCACCCATGAACTGAAGGTAATGTGTTTCTACCCACTGGGTGCTTGACAGTAGATAAGTTAGTTAATATACGTAAAGAGCGTAGAATAGCTCCTGGCACAGTAAATGCTGTTTAAATGCTAGTTTTGAGAATGACTCATTGAGCCATTCAAGATGATGCTTAGGATGAATTTTCTGAAGCTGGAGCAGAATTCTTGCTATGAAGTGAATCAAACAGGATGATAACAAAGAGTACATACTCCATGATCCTCATTCCATATCTATGCAAGGAGGAAGGAAGAGAAAGAAATATACCGCTGTTTTTCTTCAGTTGAGTCTTATTTTCTTCTCAATTATATTTTCCTACTTTCCAAAATTTCTACATGAGTATGTAATATTTTATAATTAGGAAGATCAATACAAAATTTAAGAAGAGAAGAAAACCTGGGTAAACATCTGCACATTTATGAGCCACTTGACCTTTTCTGAGTCTCAGTTTCATCACCTATACCATAGCGATAGAAGCATCCTCACAGGTCAACTCCAAGTTAAAATTTACCTGGAAGCAATCGGGCAATAAAAAAGTGTTTTATAACTATAATATCCTTACCGAGGTCATCCTTGGGTAGCAGCAACAACAACAAATATATTAATGCCAGAGTCAAAATTAGGTAAAAACGCAGAGGTCTTTAGAAGTTTCTAATGGATTATTTCAGATGCATTATGTTCTGCTCCAACCAAGTCCTAAATCCAAGGACTTATTATAAGAAAGCCAAAAGAGCACATTAACTAGGGACTAGGAAGCCAGAGTTCACGTGTAGGCTGTGCCACTGACATTTTTGACAAGACACTTTTATTTCTGGACCTCCTCATTCAAGTAGACGTTTCAGAGTATGGCCTGAGGTCCATTGGTGGATGTTAACTACCGTGAATTACATTTTTTTTTCAGTTCTGATGAACACAAAGTCACAAATCCATAGGCTTTTATTTTCTCATACAACTAAAAACTAGTTTGCATCTGAGTAATTTAATAGGGGCTATTAAAATTATAAACTAAAAATAGTTAGAGTGTACTGCAGACTGTCAGAAGTCTACTAAAATATCTGGCTGTGTGTGCAGCTTGGCAGGGCTGCAAAACTCCTACGAACCTGTTTAATTGCCATTTCAGCCGTTTTGGGGCATGGCACTTTGTTATCAATGAATTGTTAGTTTTGTCTTGATTTGATTCCAGTTTTCAATTGTTGCTATTCTCGTTTCTTAATTACCAATTACTAATCATTTAGATTCATCATTATCAAGTTAGTTTGTTGTGGATTGTTTGGCTGACTCTTAACAGAGTTCAGTGATACAGATTTCTATCCAGATAGTTTTGGGCTGATAATTTTTTTGATATCTAGATATGGTTGCACTGGATTTTGAAAGTAAAAGATCTCTCCCTGTAATGTTAAAGAAGACAGATAACCCCACCCCTCTAACCTACCCCAAATTTGCATGTATAGTGATAATTATCACTGTATGCCCATTGTTTAATGAGCCACAGACAGAGTAGGTCGACCAACTCCACTGGTGGTGAGCAAAGATGCTGTATACACAGTGACCTCAAAAGTCATTTTCAGATTGAAAAAATTCATTCTAATTCTATCTTATGCAAAACACACTAATTGCCATTAGTACACATGTGTTAGTGTGAATCTGTGTTTCTATTCTAACTGAATTTTCCTGACTATCCAATGGCCGAGACAAGTTCAGGCATTTGTCACTCACTTGACCATCCAGAAGTCTGCTGCCGAGTACTCCTGGTAGGAGCTTCTGGTTGTCCTCTGGTTTCTGATTGTTCTCTGGGTGCTTGCTCTCTTGCCCATCATCTGGGTCGTGATCAGTCTGATCATCAGTGGGATTACTAGGAGCTGGGGAGTCTCTACTCATCTGCCTTGTATTACCAGTCGCAGATTTCTGGAACACCCTTTGAGTTTCCGCCTTCACGTTCTCATTCTCGTTGCTGTGAAGAAAGGTGTTGCCTGCTGTTACTCACAGGGCAGATTCGCATGCACTAGGCTGGCACAGAAACAGAAGGTGTTTGTTGGTGTGAACAGTGGTAACCCAGCAAGTGGAATGAAAAGTCGATGCTGGCTATTTGTCTATGGATCATTTACCATAGAGAGGCCGTGCTATTATTCCCTTGGGCTTTATTTTCGCTGACCCTCTTCCTCACACTCATAAAGATAATTTATCCACCTGCTCCAAACTCCTACCATAATGGCAATGCCACAAACGAACCCTGCAGATGATCACACTATCTTGCTCACTCATCTACAAGGTATTTGTAGTGCTTGTAACTAGAAAAGGAAGAAAGTCAGGCAGTTCGCCAGCTCCGATCTTGCTCTGTCCCTCCTCATATCTCACCTTGGGGCTTCTTTTCTCTCATGAGTCCTCCATTTAAGTTTAATATGACAGAGGAAAGAGAAAAGGAAACCAGAAACCCTATAGGAATGATTCAAAGAAATGCAAATAACAAACAAAATTTTAAAAGTATTCCACCTTCTTTAATTATTAAAGATTTATAAGTCAAAACAAGTACAAGGCACAATTTTAAATATAGAAAATTAAAAAACACAATGAGAATGGCTACATAAATAGATATAGTTAATATAGTAGGTGACTAGACAAAATGTATTAAAGAGTCATACTTTTTAACCTAATACATTTTTAAGATTGTGTATTATGAAAATGCAGAAGAAAATTAACTCTAAATATTTAGTAATAGGTGAATATGTTTAATATTTTATTCTGTGTTTATATGATAAAATGTATAGAGCCATTAAAATAGTTAGGAATAATTTTAATGACACAGAAATGCCCAGTTATACAAATAAGTGAAAAATATAATCTCAACTATGTACAAAGCATGTATGTAATGTGTGTGTGTATGTATGTGCACACGGTATATCTAGAAGGACATATGCTAGAAGTAAACAATAAGTGTCTCTGGGTAGTAAAACTCAGTATATATTCCATTACACTGTATCACATATTATATCACATTGTATCTCATAAAACTATTCTAAATTTTCTATAGGAGAAAATATTGTTTTATAATCAGGAAAAACAAATTTCAAAATAGTTATGTCTAGAAGAGATTCTATAAATTCTAGATGTTGTTATTAACACAGTAGAAAGAATCTATTTTAAAGCATGTCATGCTCTCTGAGCATAACACAATTGCCCCACTATTTGTTGATTTGAGTAGAACCAGACCATAGGCAATGGTTTGAACGTATGTATATTTTTACAGTGATCCTCTTGGTTCTGGCATCATGAGAAAGAAAGAAGGCCCAAGAAAGAACTCCGAGGAACACCTCCATTTAATAGTGGAAAGAGGAGCCCTAAAAGGAAATTCAGAAGAAATTCTCAGTGAGGCAGTGGGGAAGCAGGAGCGTGGGTCTCGGCAGCAGTGAGGTGAGAGGGCAGGGGCAGCAGTGTCGGGTACCCCGAGAAAGGTAAGCTCTGAAAAGTGTCCTCTGCATTAAGCCATAAGGACATCACCAGGAATCTCCATGAAAGCGCTTCAGTGAGAGAATGAGGGTGGATGCCAGTCTGCAGTGGGTTGAGAAACAAGTGAGGACAAGAAACTGAAGGCAAGAAGTATCAAGTCCTCTATGAAGACGCTTGGTTGCAAGAGGGGAGAGACAGGTGGGATGTGGGTTTCAGATAGGGCCTTGTTATTATCCCACTAAAAGATAGTAGGGACTTGAACACATTTAAAGACCAATGGTGAAGAGCCATCTGAGCCAGAGAAAAGGAGAGGATATCGTTGATAAAATAAGATGAACTCCCACAAAGTGCAATGGGGTGTCACTGAGAGATCAGGGGCAGAAATGAAACCGCAATGTTGGGTAGTAGGGAGCTAGGTGACAGAGTAGGCAAATTCATTTGTACAATTGGTGACAGGAGGCGCTGGGTCTAGGGAGTCTGGTTAAGGGTAGACGGCTTGAAATAGGTGCTATGAGAGTAGAAGATAGCTTATCAGAAGAGGAAGAAAGGTTGGCTGGGCAAAAGTGAGTGGCCAGGGGAGGCTGGACACGATGTCGTGGTGTCAGAGGGTGAATACCCTCCTCCAGAATGGCCAGCGGTCCTTGTGGAGAGGCAGAGAGGACAGGGGTACACTCAGGGCGGGGGCCTTGCCACACAGGTGCAGTTGAACAACAACAGAGCAAGATGGGAATATAGAAGAAAAATGTGCATTTAACAAATAGTTCTTACAGCGAGAGAAGACATGTAACATGGTCCCTGACTTTAAGAAACTTAATTTCATTTGGTTGTCCCAAAATAACATGAATGATAAAGTTAACTGTTATAACTTGCTTCTAGAAGTTAGATAGATAGATTTTAGATAGTGGTTACCTTTCGGAGGTTTGTGGAGCCCAGAAAGGAGTTCTGGGGGTGCTTGTGGGATATCGGTACTATTTTGTTTTTTGATCTGGATGTTTGTTGCATAGATGTATCATATTTATGAAAAGTCAATGACAGAATACTTATGAGATTCATTTTTATGTATATGCATATAGGTATATTTCTATAAAGTATTTAAAGAAACAATATTACATTTATATAAAGAATACAGCCCTGGCCGGTTTGGCTCAGCGGTTAGAGTGTCGGCCTGCGGTCCTGAGAGACCCGGGTTCGGTTCCCGCTGGGGGCACGTACCTCGGTTGCAGTTTGTCCCAGGCCCTGGTCGGTTGTGCGGGTGGCAACCACTCGATGTGTCCCTTCACATCGATGTTTCTCTCTCTCTCTCTCCCACTCTACCTGAACAAAAAATGGAAAAATGTCCTCGGGTGAGGATAAAAAAAAAAAAAAAAAAAAGAATACATCCTATTTGAAGTTCATAAGAGAAATAACCAAAACAAGTCAGATGGAAAAAGACAAATACCATATAATTTCACTTATATGTGGGATCTCAAAAACAAAACAAAACAAAAACAAACTCATAGATACAAAGAATTAACTGGTGGTTATAACAGGGGAACAGGTTAAGGGGAGGGGAATAGGGGACCAGATGTATAGAGGTGGATGGTTACCAGACTTACAGTGGTGAACGCTCTGTAGTTGTATACAAATATCAAATGATAATGTTGTACAACTGACACATATATATAATCTATATACACCAATTCTACCACAAAAATAACTTAGTGAGAAATAACTATGGTTTTCAATGGTTGCAAAAATAATGATGTTTCTGAGCATTTAACCACATTACAGTCACACTGGAGCCACTTACCAGTTTATTTAGTCTTCAAATTGACCCTACAGCTAGGTGCTCATGTTAATCTCATTTTAAAATGAGGGAATTAAGAGTCAGAACATTTATTTGATTTGTCCAATTCTACATGGCTTTTCAGTAGTGGAGCCAGAATTTAAACCTAAGTCCACCTGGTTGCACCTAAGTTCCTACTGCCCATAGAAGAGTCTGGAGAGGATCCGCAGAAGTTTGGGATTATGTAAGGAGCAGAACTAGAGAAGCAGGCAACCAAAGTAGGTAATGCAGATTTTAAAGGCAAAACTGGGCACAGGGGCAGAGAGTTAGCTCTTTTAGCTGAGGTCAGGGGATAAATCATCTTTGCTTTAATCACCTTCAAAATCATTTTGTGGACAGTCCCAGGACAGAATTGCCCGAGAAATGTGAAATATATCTGCCTGTGAAAATAGCCACAGTAGATGTAAAAACCAAAAATAACCTGTTAAATCTGTTCAAAGTAAAAGATGCATTTTTTTTTTTTAAAGAACATACATAGCAGTTTAAAATAATCATGAAAATGACTCCCCAGCTGAGAAACAGCATGTGTCCGCTGTTAGCACAAACATTTCGTCAACACACAGTGGTTGTTATGCTGTTCACAAACTCACAGTTCTTTCTGCTCTGCTTGTGTGTTATCTACCTGCAGTACTGAAAATAGAAATCTGCCATTTCAGTAGAATAAAAAAAAATGCCATCAGTAGTATCTTGGAAGCACACACAGCCAGCTTCCTCCTATGTACTGACCTCAACTGCTGCTCTCGGGGACAGTGAAGTTTCATGTCATCTGGGAACTACAGCAATTAGGGAGGATTACTGTATTGCTGGTTGATAAACAATGTGGAGAAAACTGCCCAGTTGTTTCCTCTCTCATGCTGGGCTCTTCCTGCAAGCCCGCCTGTTCGTGCCCCTCTCTGCTATAGTCAGAGCCTCGGGGTTAGAAGGAAGCAGGACAAAGACAGCTAGAAGCATCCCCTGCCCACAGCAAAGCAGAGATCCCCCATTACCTCCCCCCGCCCCATAACTCCAGCCCACCAGATCTCACATTTGATTTGGATTACACCCCTGCCGAGAACATCAAATCTCAAACGGAGGACCCGAGGGGCTCTGCAAAAAGGTCACCAGATGCCATCTTAAAGGTCTGCCAGCCTTGGCAGCCACTCAATGCCACCGATTTCCAACTGCGCACTATCTAACAGGCCCACACCCTCTGGAGAAGACGGCCCAGGGTGTGCCAAGGCAGTGAATGGGGATCTAATTTCAGTAAATGAAAGCATGTTCTTATTTGGAAGTAATAACAGGTAATTAACACAACCAGACTTTTCCTTTCTTAAAAAGACAACAACAAAATAAAAAATAAACTGGGACTTGGGAGGGAGTGTATCTGAACATCTCACCCAGCTCCACGGGGAAGCTGTAACTCGAAGCCTATGCTAACGTGGCGAATGGATGGTATTGTATCGAAGTGGAGGAGGTTTCTTCTCTCTTTAGTTCCACGAAGCCATACTGTGTATTATTATCACAGACATTTATTCTGCAGAAAGAACTTTAAAGTACTTTAACTCCCAAACCTATGCCCGAATCATTTATTTCTTCGTCATTATAATTATCCAAGCTGACATTTTAAATGCTTATGTGGTAACTATCACATGTAAATTTACATAAATTCTTTTTGTAATATTTTTAAAACATCGACGTGAAAG